GTAGTAGTAGTAGTAGTCATCGTAGTAGTAGTAGTAGTAGTCGTCGTCGTAGTAGTAGTAGTAGTAGTAGTAGAAGTAATAGTAGTAATGGTAGCAGTAGTAGCAGAAGTGGTAGTAGTAGTAGTAGTAGTAGGAGTAATAGTAGTAATGGTAGCAGTAGCAGTAGCAGTAGTAGGAGGCTGCCATTTGGCACTCCGCTACTCTTCTTTGTTCCTCTGCTGCGGCTGTTCTCCTTCCCCCCTTACTCTCCATATCGTGGTATTCGTGCTCGAATTGATAGTCTATTCTGTGAAGAATGCTTCCTCTACTCTTGCGTCTGAGTTTTCGTTGCCGCTACAGACTACTGCAAGGAAGCCCTAAGGTACAGATAAGATAGGCGGCTGTCAGCCTTCATGTGATTAAAGCTGCAGTGTTGAGGATCTTTCGAGCTTTTATCTCACTTCCCAGTCTCCCCCGGACCTTGCCTGGCCATCTCCATCATCCAACCTGTGCTGCTCGGGATGCCATGGGACGTTGGCGAAATGGGCTCAAGTACTCAAGACACACGTAAATATCTATTGAACCAAGACTGAGCAACAGGTGGAAGAGTGCAGCGCTTTCGTGCCTGAGACTGCATGCATCTTTGGCAATTTCGTGTTTCTCTGCCAAGGTCACAGCAGACCTGGGCACGTGCACAAAGCCTTCTTGTTGCCAAGCAGCACATCAACTTCCAGGGTAGCAAAATAAGCTGCGACCTTCGGATTATTCAAGATGTCCTTCAGCCTTGCTTCTGTGATCAGACCGTCTCCGAACTCGTCAATGGCTTTGAAGAAGGTCTCCAGCTTCTTTACATAGTCCGCCTTCTTCTGGAGGTTTTCTGCTACCATGTTCTCAGCATCACTATGCGCGGCATCCAAGGTGTCCTGAAAGCAGAGTGACCTACCCGGACACCATACCAGACTGTGCGATATTCGAAGTTCTGCATCCATAGCACGGGCTTGCTTTTGCAAACCACAGAACAATCGTGCAAATATACGTGGGCTTGCACAGCACATTGAAGGAATCACTGTTCCAGAAAATGTTAGAAACAGCCACGAATAGAGAAGATTACTGGATCAAGCATGCTCACTGCTTGCTCCTTTCAAGTCCTCCAAGTCTCCTCCTAGCTATTGACAGCTTCGAATCGCTTTGCCGGCGACATTTTGCGATATGTTGCATGTTGTATCATGGCACTGTCGATATGGGTCATGGGCTACAGCAGCTGACCTGTTGGGTTCTTGTCTTTCCCATGTCGGCCCTGGAGGAGATCGCAGATCGAGATCGTTCACACCTAACACCTAGCTACAGCACACGCAGATTTCAAGCGCTGGTTGAGACTTATAGGGGACCCCTTCGTTCAAGGTGAAGCCCTGCACCTGCAAAACCCAAACCCTTTCTAACTCTGCTCAGTAGAATGGCGCGCTGCGTTCAACATGCGTAACTGCTGATGCGACGGCTGAAGACACTGACGACGGCTGGAAACACTGACTTGCCCATCTCCTTGAGAAAAATTGCAGAAATCACTCTGATAACTGCAAAGACCTTAGCTGACAGTACGAGCCCTACAAAAAAAAGCTATTTTTAGACCCCTAGTTACTGTACAACTGTAGGAAACAAGATAAAGTCCTAAGAGCCAAGCTAAAGCCAGCCAAGAGACAATCACAGTAATGTAAGTCAGAAAGAAGACGGCAAAGATGGGACTCACCTTCGAGGCAACGCACGCATCACTCTTATAATACTAATAATAATAATAGTAGTAATAATAATAATAACAATAGTAATAGTAATAATAATAATAGTAACCGCAAGCCATTGAAACAACACGCAGAGGATGAGCGAGAGGCACCTTTTCTAGAATGGGTCTTGCTCGCGTTGGCCAGTTCCTGGGTTCCCAAGGTCTTTCAAAACACAACCCCTTCCAAAGCTAGCATCTCAACAGGCGTGGACTGAAAGCTGATCTTCCATCAGGAGCTGAGCTTCCCAGCAAAAGTGATTTCCTTAGGAGTCCAATATCTGGGCAGCTTCCAAGAGGTTAACCTGTTGGTTCATATTAGATCATACAATACCCGAAAAGTTACCAACTGGTCAGGTAGGTTCGTAGAGCGTGTAGAAGGACTGCCATGAAGTTCCATAATGTAGCCACACCCACCGCCTGGACAAAAGTTGCTATTCACCCCACATGATGGCGGGATGGCAAACTGGAGTCATGAAGCTCCTGCTGTTCTACAAGCAAGTTTGTTTATGGAGGTGCCTGACTGCTGGTGAACGACCTTGTTCGTTTCATTTCGTTTCACAGTAGCTGCTGTAATCACAGGTGAAGTACAAAAAGAGTCCCCACGATCGTGGCCATCATGTTGTCATTGAGTGAACATATTGTAGCTATCTTTACTCGAATTCTCACTTCATTGTCATTCGCATCGCCAACACTGGAAAAATAAGTGCAATGGCATAAACTAGACCGTGAGGAGAAACAAGGCGAAGACCACCCATCCATCAAAAGAACGATACTGCCGAAAGCATGGGCACAAGGTACCTGTCTTCAAGCGGCATCTCATCGTCCATGATCCAGTCTTGGAGCAAATTTCCTCCGTTGGTGCACAGGTGAGGGGCGTTTGGAAGACTTTCTTGCCAGATAGAACCTGGATTGTACGCCACTCGGAGCAAAAGGCGCCAACTCTTTCTTTGCTGGCGCAGCCCTTCACTCTGTTCGTTTGGCAGCCCGCAACATGAGCTTCGACTCCCAGCCTTGTAGAAGAAATCTGCTACGAGGCGGCCTATGCTACGAGTAACTGCACGAAGCATTGGTGTTGAATCACCTGCCTACAATGTAACTACCGAATGACTGTGTTCGCCGTGAGAAGCATTTTGAAGTTTCTGACTCTGGGGCGGCCCGGCTCTTTGCTGAACGAGGTGCCCACAATGCAGCTGGACTTACCAAGATGCCAAGCCAAGACTCCCATGATCAGGGCTCCCATGAGCATGAAAACGCAGAGGAGCACCTTGCAAAGAGAGGCTGCATGAGCAAGCACCATCATGCACCATCAAAGCGTTACTGAGAGCCATTTAACAGCTCAAGCAGTGGAGGATCCGTCATATGCCTTGAGAACAACCATCTACGTTCACCAAATATCACTTGTGCTTGTCTTTGTGCCGAGGAGCCATTGACCAGCCCAGCGAAGGCAAAAACGATGTGCCTGAACAAGATGAAGAACTGGTGACTGCTTGCATGGCTCGCCGCGGCTCCTCAGGAGCCCCTTGTGCACTGCAGAGGACGCTAAGGGCGCAGCACGCTTGAACAAGCAAGCGCAAGCCATGAAAAAGCTTGAATGTCCGTACCTCATCAAGCCACAGGGCGCAAATGTGCGGACCGCGATCTTCTACATTAAGAGCCGTGTCCAGAATTACACGTTGCACGTCAGTTCTACCGACTGCCAAGCCGCCAGGCCACCCGTGCAAAAACACACCACAATGCGATTACAGGACCCTGCAACATGTTGTTTCTGACAGAAGTTCCAAAATAGCCCCTTTCAAAGCTGAGCAACGTCTGAAGCTCCTCTTCCAAGTCCAATTCAGTGCCCCTCTTCACGGCTGAACTCACTACGTGGCAGGGGACTATTGTGTTCAAAAGCATTGCCGGCCGCAGCCTGCAAGATCTGCAAATGTCCCCTCTGAGCTATATTGTCGATTCGAGTTGGCTTGCTGCAACTCATGAAACTAAGTCCAACAGCATCGCTAGATGCATCGTCCCTGCTACTCATCCTGGTAATAATACCGAAAGCATACCGAGAGTGGCTACCATCCTTCCCTTCCACGTTGTGCTCACTGACAAAGCATACTTTAGCTTAGGGCCCTGTTCCTCATTGTGACCACAGGGTAAACAGCATTTTCATACTTACATAAAGGTCCCTACCTGATACCTACTCCCATCATACAACTATGAAACACGCTCCGAACCCAAAACCCTAAATCCTACTCCAAATCAAGCAAGGGGCCATGCGCATTGACCTTAAGGACTTCGCGGCTCGGAACAAGCGAAGCATTGCCTCACTGGTGCAATGCTATAACTACAAGTCTAAAAGTGATGTGTGTATATATATATATATACATACTGAATACTATGCATATACATTTTGGTACCTGCCAAAAAACATTGTGAAACCATGCATCACAAGTGGAAATTTTGAATTCTACTTTGGCACCCCCAAAAGCGCTGTGGAAACACGCATCACAAAAACTCGACATGGTATTGCCAGGCTTTGTTTGAATACCCAAGTGGAAACATTGATTGAGGACTGAAAGATCGCAGAAAAATTCTCTTGAAAGAATCAATTTCCAGATTTAGCGACTTGCGCTGCATTTAACGCACTTACTTTAGATACTCGAGGTTGAAGATTGAAGATTATCGTAAAAGTTCTCTTGAAATCTTAGATTTCCAAATCTAGGACTTAAACTGTATTTAGCGCTTATTTCACAAATGAAAGATCCAAGATTTCTAAAAAATGTCTAAGCATCATAAATCGTTAATGCTCGTCTCTCTTTCAAAACGTAATTACGTCGAATACAATTTAGTTGGTGGCACCCGCGCGGGGCGCCTGGCGATTTGGGCTTGTGTTTACTTTGTTGTCATGGTTTCCCGCCTCTCCGCTGAGCGCCGAGACCATACTCCTACCAGTGCACCACTGCCCAAACCATAATAACGTTCGTGTTTCGAGAGGTGTTTCGAGAGCATACGCTTACCAGAGCATTCATGCCCAAAACATAATAATGTTCGTGTTTCGAGAGCATACCGCTACCAGTGCATCCATGCCCAAACCATAATAACGTTCGTGTTTCGAGAGCATACGCTTACCATTTCATCCATGCCCAAACCATCATAGCATTCGCGTTCCAAGGGCATACGGTCATGCCTCCTGTCTCAGGAATGTTATGATAAACGGTATAATTTTACTAGCTTGAAAAACCCTAATTTTCGGCTAAATCGCGCCGAAACCATGGAAATAAACACATTCAGCCACCTCAAAACCTCCAGGCGCCTCGCGCGCATGCAACCATTTAGTTACCTAGGAATGCAATTTGCAGATGTCAAGAGAATTTTCCTGAAAGACTATGCTCATACCTTGACTTCAGGTTTAGTTGCTCAGGAAAGTTCCGAGAATCCATTGTGTAGAGATTCAAAACAACTGCAAGTTTTAGAAAAAAACAATGCAAAGCTTCACATCAGGATCAAGAGCTCTGAGGCCACCCCAAAAACTAACGAACCATCTGGCTAAGTAGGCTTGTTCGAGTAGGAGGTCGAGGCCCCAATCCACTGACGTAATCTTACGTGAATTATGTATCTCAAATCGCTGAATCAAGTAGGGTACATCGACTCATTACATCAAGAGATGAGCCCCAATCTAGTTTGTCCGACGTGAGCAGGCCAAATACGTCTATTTAAATTTGAGCAAACCATTTGGTTTACTGGGATCATTGATGTGACGATACAATTAACCAGTTCAAGCAACGACTAATTTATGACCCATGACAGTAAAATGTCATCGAGAGGTCAAGACCATCCATCTAATCACCTTAACTTGTGGCTTCATAAGGCACAAAGCATGTCCTCGTCCGCTCCTAAATGCATGGGTAGGAAGTTCTATGCCGAGGAATGGCTTCCCTGTCCGGATATCATTTGAATTCATAGAAACCTACAAAATGAGGAGGTCCCTCAGTCCAACTAGATTTCCTCTCGATCTTCCTTTATGGGGCCCTAAACATGTTCGGAGAAAACAACAACGGAAACCTAAGAAATGAGGGAGGTCACCTTTGAAAAACCGTCTGTTTCCGAGTAAAAGATGAGTTGTGAAAGTGATGCTCGTGGAAAACTTTGAGGTTACCAGGTAAAAGATTGTTTTTTCAAAGGAATGCTCTTGGAAAACCATCCTCTTCCTGCGAAATGTTGCTCGGCTAACAGAACAACCACGTTGCTCATAGGGACAACCTCAAAAAGACAACACCTGTTTGAGAACCTATGGCGCCTGTTCAAAAAATGTCTTTCCTTACCAAAGGGCTGTGCTTGAAACAAACTGGGGAAAAGATGGTGTTGGTTCAACAGCAAGTCGAAGAAAACAAATGTTTTCCTAGAGGAACTAGAGGACCGCTGTTGCAAAACTGTCACTCTCCTGGGACAATCTGCTGCTACAAGAAAAACCTCTTTTTGCTAGCGAACCCGGAAGAAAACGTCGTTTAGAAGCCACCGTAGTTTCTCAAAAACCTGTTTTACTTTCCTCTAGGACAAGGATAGCATTTGAAAATTGATTTTCTCTTGAGGAGAATGGGTTTCCAATGGCACCTCCTTTGAAGAACACATCCTGTTCCTAGGAAGAAGAGCTATCTTGCTTTCCCAAATCCCTCCCAATTGGGTAATATGATTCCGCAGTGGTTTTTGGCATTTTGTTGTATATGCTATGTCTTAATGATGTATATGAATATAGTACAGGAGCCGTATATTATTCTACTATCATTACATAAACTCATATACATATACAATACTGTAAGCACATAACGTCCAATGGGGAATTATGTTGGGCTTTTTTCAGACTTCCAAAACATCCTACATCCCAACCTTACTAGTGGGGAATGGACAAGAAAATGCAAACCATTGCGTTGTTTCGGCTTTCCAGTTCAGAGTTCTTGAAGAAGCATGGGACATACCGGCTTTCATGAAGAGTTATACAGACTGGTATAAGGATTCATGTCTCCCTACAATGCAAATACGAAGTAATGACGACAACATGGAGAGGACAGAAGGTAACAGTCACGTCATTGCTGTTACAATTTACCTCGTCTCTTTAGACAAGCACAACTCTCCAAGCTTCATCCCCTCAGAAATCTCAGGGGAGTCTCCTGGTGCATCTTAGGCACGATGTTTCTCAAGCCGCCGCTCTGGCCGTGCGCTAGAGGAACAATAATGTAGATGTCCACCTCAGGAAGCCAGCTTGCTGGCACCCATTGATATCCCAAGCAACCTTGAGAAGCCCCCTCCAGCATATTTAGAGACGGCCAGCTGTTGCCAGCATTAAAGCATGCACCAGCAAGACACATGTTCCAACAACTGCGCACATGATAACAGCAGCCATGGAAAAAAACATGCGGAAAACAACTAATGAAAAGTTGACAAGCTCTACAGCTGAGAAGCCAAGCCGGAGGTAACGAGCACAGCGTCAAACCAGTTGGAACAGGATCGGTGGAATTCTGGCCATGTTATCCACATGCGAAGTACCAGCTCGGCTAGGTAGATGTAAACAAACATAGAGTCCAGGACGCGGAAAATTGGCTCAGCATGTTCAAATGGCAATGGCGGAGACATCCCAATGTGGTAGCCCGAGGCCCTCCCCTCCCACTCCAACTCCACCAACATCAAGATGGTGTTTAATAGCACAAAGACTCCAGCAACGTAGTCGATGTAGAGTTTTACCCTCTGTCGTAACAGAGCTACGCCGTTGACAGATATTGTTCGTTCTGTTAAGCGAAAATCCACAGATGACATGGCCGGGGCAATCACCTTCCCGCTCTGTGATCCTGAAGGCTCCGCCACTGGCACGGCTATGGCACTTTTGGGTGACAAGCTTCTGTCCAAACTCCAGGTAGGGGATTCCCTTATGCTGTGCTCTATGATCTCTTCGTCCACACGCAGAGGCAGCGGATCGATCCCTGCAGCCAAAGGTTGGGCAGTTATATGACCCGCGACTGCCGGGCGGGGGCCGTGAGTACAAGGAGCGCCGGTCTCCTTGAGCGAAGCATTGGACTCGCTGTCACCAATCTCATGGAGAATCGCCTGCTTTGAAAGAACACGAAGCCGTGCGAAAGAGAGACGCAGCTTCTGCCGCCAGGCACCATGCTGTTCCTCCACAAGTGACAATAATTCTTGCTGCTCTCGGTCTATCTCAGCTTGCAGCGCCACAAGATCTCCATCGCATTCCATGGCAGGGTGTGCTTACACCGTGAATGGCTGCCTGGCGATTTGTGCACGCAATGTTTGTCGTCGCGACCTGCGCCCTTTTGATAGTCATCTACACTCGGACATCAGGAATCGGATCAATGCTGACTTAGTTATCAGGGTTTGAGAGTCTCTCAGAGCCAATCTGCAGGCGGAAGGGCAGAATGCCTCATGCTTCGGCAAAGCTGGTGAAAGTGTCTTGCTTGTCCCTGTCACAAGCCCTGAAACTGAAGCGTCAGGGAACAATCGCGTTATCCTCACCCTTGTGCAGGCTTGAGTCTAGCAGATGCGTAATCTATGCTCACAATGCTGCCGGGGAACTGATTGCAGGCAATGATTGAGATCAAGGGTATCAACGCATGTTTCACATCGGTGTGTAACTGAGATGACTCCCTGAACTCCTTAGCTTTTCGCGGAGCCATACAGGTTGTGCAGGTGCGTATGCAGGCAAACAACGGCATGTTCACTTACCACTGTCCAATCCATAATCAATCTAGTTTTGTGCCCGAGTTCAGCAACTGATCGAATGTTGCAACAAGTGACATCTGAAGCAGGACTGCAAATTCTGCCTGCCAACACAAAGAGCGCAATGCAAGCAAGTAGCATTGGGCACTTGCAAATCTGTTGTTCGTAGATTGCCACATACCTCCCTTTGTAGGGAAACTGCTTTAACCTCGAGCGGTGCCGCATGAAAAAGCATACAGAAGCAGTGCTCAATTGTAGGCAAGTGGCGCTTTCCCTTGCCACCCTTTCCTTTTCCGCCCTTTCCTTTGCTGTCCTTTCCTTTGCCCTTGGCTTTTCCCTTGCCTTTCTTGGGCTCATCTGCTGGCGGGGCCTCTCAGCAAGCAAAACCAAAGCAACCAAAGCAACGCGAACAGCGCAAGCAGGCATGTCACACAAGAGCGTCTAATGTCCTTGCTCAAGATATAAGTAGGCAGAGCAGACACAAGCAAGATGCCGGTTTTGCATCGCCTTTCCCTTCTTGCCCTTGCCCTTTGCTTTTCCCTTGCTGGGCGGCTCCATCTCCATGGCCATCTTGGACTTTCCTTTGCCCTTGGCCTTTCCTGTCAAGTTCAATGTGCTCCAAATCGCACATATGTGTGTGCCGTGGCGCGACATGCGCTGGACCAGGCCTTTGCCCTTGCCCTTCCCCTTCATGGGCATGGGCGGGTAATCCTCCTCCTCATAGTCGTACATGGGCTTTCCTGCAGACATGCTGCGGAATGCACAAGAATTCATGCACAACTTCAATGAGTTTCACAACCATTGAAGTCATCCAGTGCTTGCTGCATCATATGTTGACTCTCATACATTATCGGCAGTGCCCGTGCCTTTGCCCTTGCCTTTGGCTTTTCCTTTGCCCTTTCCTTTCATTTCCATCTCTTTGCCCTTGGCCTGCTCATTCGTATGGATATTCAAGTGGCAAAGGACAAGAGTCTCCCTCAAGCGCAGGAACTTGATTGGAAAAAGGATTGGCAAGCAACCAGCACTCGATGCCTTTCCCTTACCCTTGCCCTTCGGCTCAGGGTAGTCTGACCAACCTTTGCCCTTTCCCTTTCCTTTGCCCTGCAGATCATGCAAGGCTGCTTGGAGCAGAAAAACCCGAATTCGATTGCTACCCTCAAGGGGTGGTTGCCGGCACCACTCTGAGAGATGCTTGCGTATACAGATCCTCGGCCTTGACAGGGGCAGGTGCTGGCCAATACTCATCGTAGTCGTAGGCCTGGCCATGCTACTCATAAAGGCAAAGCTGCAAATAAGATGGCAAATGGCAAGCAAGGAGTTAGGGCTGCGTAGTAACACGCAGCAAAACCATGATTCATTGATCCCGAACCTTGCTCTTGCCCTTGCCCTTCATGGGCATCGGAGGCTCCTTGCAGCAAAATGCATGCAGGGTTGTCAGGGTACAATACTTTGCCATGGGCCATTCGTGGGGGTCCCATTGCCTCTCATGTTTGTGCACAAGACTTCCATTTCAACACAGTCATGGTTTAGTGGTTTAGTCTTAGATTGAGGGGTATCGGTTTTTGGGGGTAGTCCTATGGCTTTTGGGGCTCTATGCGTGGTTACGGCATCCAGCGCATTCCTTCTGCTCTCGCAGGTACCGGGGGCGAGGCATGATGATTCTATCCCTGATTGTTCAACCAAGGCTCGTAATCGTCCCAGGCAGGCTTTCCCTTTCCTTGTCAGTGATTACAGCTTACATTTTCAAGGCATCACATGTCTTGGAGCTGGCCGAGGCCAGTGCCCTTTCCCTTCACGCCGCCTTTTCCTTTTCCCTTGGGTTCCATCTTTCCCTTCCCTTTGCCTGCACGGAATTCTGAAACCCCAAGCACTGCGCAAGTGGAGCCACTGTCAATTACTGGCCTTTGCCCTTCATCGGCATTGGGGGGAACTCTTCCCAATCATCGATTGGTGCCTGGCACATGGAGCAATGCCCTTTCTTGTTGGGCAAAGACACTCTGAGCTACACTTCGTCTGCCACCTTACTGGCCCAGCCTTTCCTTTTCCCTTGCCACCCTTCATGCCCTTGCCACCCTTCCTCAGGCTGCGAACATCAAGACTGCAGGCAGGTTATCTGGCCATAACCTCTGGGGTCTGGGTGACATGCTAGTATGCAGCCTGGCCCAGGATCGTGTAGACAAACGAAAACAAAAACGGTCAATGGAAGCCATCCCAGAACTTACCTGACTCATGTTGCCCAAGGTCCCGCTTGCTTTGTAGCCACCCATGGCGCGAAGATGGACAACCTGAAGTGAAATGACTGCATGCTTGCATAGTCCACACATGTCCACACCATCTGCACTGGGGATTTCACAAAAATCACAGTACGTTTTGAGGGCCCCTTGATAACAATTCGGATTACATAGTGTTGCGGGAATAAGTAGGATTACATAGTCTTGTGGCATCTATGGTGTAGGCGGCGCAAAACCCCAAAAGGCTGAGTGGGCAGCTGATCAGCAGAAAGCTTGGTGCGGGCTTGTCCGGCAGGCGGAGCTTGCTCAGAGCCAGGCTGCTGCGGGTCCGGACAACGATTCGTGCTGCATGACGAAGCCAAACCCATATGAGCTACAATCTAAACTCCTAGTATCCTGCTTAATGAACCCTATTGCAATCCCGTATATAATCCCCTATATGACCGTCTTTAAGGAGTTTAGACTGTAGCTCATATAATCCCTGTATAGTCCTATACAATCTCTATATAGCCACTATATAATCCCCATGTAATCCCTTTGTAATCTCTATATAATCCCTATATATCGTATTCCCTAGTTCCATATTCTGAAACCTACGCCTAACGACCCAAGATGCACCATGCACCAGCTTGGGAAAACAGACTGGCGCAGCTTGCATGATGCCGTGAGCCTCGTCACCCACCTTTTTGCCTGATCAAGGTCACTAGAATAGAGTATATATTCGGGTTTTGTAAGGATAATGGTAAAGAAAAAGGGGAAACTACTACAATAGAGTATATTTTATGGTTATATAGGGATAATGGCAAAGAAGATGGAAACTACTACAATACGGTATATGTTAGGGTTAATCAGCATTCCAGTCAACTGTCACGCATTCGCGCCTGCCATTTGCGAGCCATAGCCATCGCGACAGTGAAACTTGATAATGGAACAGCACAAGAAAACAGTGGCAGGGCTTTAAGAGGAAGGTAAAGCAAAAGGGGATACAGCACCCATTGCAAACCCAGGCTTGAGCCGAAACGCAGTCAAACCACAGCTTCTGCAAGGAAAGTCACCAGTCACAGCGCATCCTGTCATTCCGATGCCGTGTCTTTTGTAGGCTACATGCTGAAACCATAAGGTGATCAATACGACACCCGTAACCCAATACTTCGTACATGCTCTTACCGAGCGGTCTTGGAAGGTCCTGGACTGCCAGCTGCTTTTACTGCTCCTCGCTGCTCAAGTCTTCGTAGTTCACACTCATGGTGTTGCAGAAGGCAAACTGGCGCGTGGGATTCGCATCCCATGAGCCACAGGTCTGATCGTCCTCTGGGTTACCTGACCAAGGCGGCACAGTAAAGACAGAGGCTAGTGACCGAAGACAAGAGAGGGCAAAAAAGGGGTTCGATTGCTACATCGAAAGCTGTCAATGCCAAGCTGCAGGTCACGTTCAACACCTCACAGGGATTGAGCGCACAACGATCAATCTCAGCAGGACTCAGCACACTTGTGGGCAGACCATCAATGCAGCATGTGCATGGTTGGGCGTGGTTGGGCTATGTTGGGCTACCTGCCTGCGAGAGACCCAAGCAACCCATGACAGCTCTCTGCGGAGGATGTGCTGGAACTGCCACACCCATGTGTCCGTAGAAACCGCCGTGCAGAAGGCGAACACACTGCACGCAGCGCATTTCGGAGTCCATGCCGCGTTCCCGGCACTTCAGTTCTGCTTTAGAACTCCACGCGTGAAAGCCACGGAGAGCCAGAAACCTACTTCGGAAGAAGTTGAAGTGACCACGTCGAAGAATCCACACCTCTGCGTGTTTCTTGTGTGCCTGACTCTGCAAGGCATGTTGGATCAGACACTCCAACCACTGGCCACTGCGAGACTTGCGGGCTGGAGGTTCCGAGACTGGAGGTGCTGTCTGAGCGGGTGGCGCTGCCACAACTCGTCGCACTGTTTGCTGGCGGCTAGACAATTTTGTTGTCCAGCCCAGCTTCGAGAACTTGTTTGTAAAAAAAGCGTAACTCGACAGCCCACTGATAACGAAAAAAGCGCACAGCACCAATGGAACCAAATACCTGACACTTTCGCCAGCTTGCCACCGACTTGATCGGCTGCGGCAGTTTCCAACGGGAGCCATGGCTTCGACTAGGAGAAGGAACAAATCTCTGCTGTCTCCTGCCCTGCTTCCACCCTGCCTGAGGGCTTCAGACTTTCTGCTATGTGCGGGCTCAGAGTTCGCAGGATCCTACTTCAAGTTTGGAGGCGCGGCGGTACCGGACGATTTTGTCTTCACACCCTCACGGTTCCCAACTGCGGCCCTTCTTACGCTACCTATTTGGAATTAACTCCTCATGCTTCGTGAACTCTGACCGTCACCTCCAACACGTATCCTAGCCAGCCAAGGTGTCTAACGGAGCAAGGGCTCCTCCTGGAGCGTCTGCTTGGACCTGATTGTCGACGCTGCCAAGTCTGCAAATTCGGGAGGCACTGTGGATTTCAGGGCGCTGCTCTAGTGCTGTCGGAGATCTTTGCGCACCGCCTCGTTTCATACATCGGCCGGGAAGAGCAGCAAGCCGGTTTGAACTGCAATCCCAATGATGACAGCTGGAAAGATTAAGGACGAGTCTGCTCGCAGTAGTTGAACTCTGTGGAGTGCTGCTTTGGGCCTTGGCGGTGTCAAATGTCTGCAAAGTATCAAATCACCAACTCCATTTTTCTTTACACTCAGCGAAAGGAGGCTGCCACTGCCCTGTACATCTCTGGCAACATGGCCATTGAACATCTTCTTTGGATGTCACTGTGACATGCCTGAAGCTGTTGCTGAGATTCTACACGCTTCGCACTTCTTTCCTCACGGCTGACCATGCCATGTCCTGACATGTCGGAAGAGATCCATCACTTGGATGTGACAAATTGACACCTGTGCTTTGCACTTCACCCTCATCGAGGCCCTCATCCAAAGCCATAAAGTCTTCAGAGAAGTAATCTCGCTTACATGGTGGCATCAACCACGATTTTCCTACGACGTCCTGGCCACACCGGCGGCTGCTGCCAACGTCTGCCTGCAATTTGAAAACGAGGCTTCGTAAAGCTATTCTAGTGGCATCACCCGTCGGGTTCCCCTGCAGCACCCTCCTCCCGGTGTCCCGGAGCAGCTGTAGCACATCAGCCAATGTCGGCTCTGCATCAAGCTCCCGGCTGAAGTCCTGCAGCATGGACTTTTGCTTGCACACAAATGCGCCCTCAAGGAGCCAAGAAAAATCAAGAGCTCAGCGGCCTGTACACCAGGACCCTCGCGAAAAAGCTGTATAACCAGCTGCTCGCCTTTGCCTGATCAAACGCAATCCTCACGGCCAAAAGCTACCTCAATAGCAGCCCCACCTTGGAGATCTAGGATCTGAGTGATGAGACTCGCCACAGGCAGCGCTTTTGCCTGTAGCTGCATCTGTCTCCAGCATCTCGAAACAACACAGGTACCGACAATCCTCTTGGACCAAGGAGAAGGTCAAGGGTACTGTCAAGGGGCATTGTAAAAGAGATGCCGCAAAGTAGCCCAACGTCCAGCCATCTGTTGCCAGAGAGCCTTGGAAAGGACATGTCTCAGGTTCTGAGTCGCCAGGATCATCTTATATAATCGTGTGTTATATTGCAGTATATTATAGTATAATACGTTATGGTATATTATGCTAATTATAGTAGTTATACTATAGCAAGTCCGGATGCATTGCAAAAAGGCTGTCCAATGCCGACCAGGGACTTTGGCCATGGTCTCCTGACGCGCCGTGGCGATATGAACTGAGATCTGAAGCCACAAGATGTCTATATAACCCTGTATACCATGGTAGTGTCCATTTTCTTTTCCATTACCCCCTATATAACCCCAATATATACCCTATCAAAACAGGTTCTTCCTTGCAGTCAAGAGGCCACCCGCCGCTCGGCTGCTGGCACGCTCCCGAGTCCTTACCAACAAAGCGACGCATGGTGCTTGCCAAGCCCAGGGCGGCAGGAGGTTGCCAAACTCTGAACGCCAAACAAGCTATAATATAGTATATATGATAGTATCCTATAGTATAATATGTTATAGTATATTACATTATAATATATACTATGGTATACTAGATTATAGTACATTACATTAATTGTAGTATACTATAGCATCACCGGCCATGCCAGGCTCCTCCTGCTGCCGCAAGGACTTGGGCCAAAACTGCCTCCTGGCATGGCAAGGGCTGCAACACCATCATGATGAGCTCAATCATGCGGGAATCTTGCGCTACGTCGCTACGTCGGCTGTTTAAGAGAAACCCGTCCTGCTGCAAGTCGTGCCCAAACAGGCTAGCTACCAGGCACGTCCTCTGCAAAGGACTAGCTGCTGGAGGACAAAGCTGAGCAGTATTCTGATAGCTCTTAATCTGAAAACCGGCTGTTGAGTCACATGCCCACGAATCCTTTCTGTGATGTGTTTTTGTCAGTTACATGATCTAGGAACTAGGTCCCCTGGGCAGCTGCCTGCGCAGCAGCCTCCACAGAGGGTACAGCACTGACGCGGGCAAGCCTGCATGGCTGTCTAGACACCCCATTGCAAAGATTTCCAGCCACGGCACCAGTCCCGATAATAAAGGTCAAACAGTCTTGCTTAGAGCCAACGGAAGGACCGTATCACTCTGTTGCAAGGCGCAGCATGTTGGCGAATTGTGCAGCTTCAGCCCAAAGCCTTGAGGCCTTTAACTTGAGCATGCGCACAGTGGAAGATTGATTCTGTCAACAAACCCTTGCCTACCACCGGAACCAGCCGCAGCAGTCGCTCTTGGAGCTCTTCAGTGCTGTCCTGCTTGAGCTTTTGCAGTGAACCGGCTACGTGCCCCTGCGCAAGTTGGCTGGCTTAGCTTTGCAATACTTTGTGGATGAACGGGCCCACGCGTACCATTGGGGAACCTGCAAATGTTGATGGCTTTCGCTTTACCAACGGTTCTGCTGATAGACACCTCCGCGAAGGCATCCGTGGCAGCTTTTTCCGCATCCCCGCCGTGGCATCGCAGCGCGGCGTTCCTTGTGACTAAGGCTGCCAAACTCATCAGGAATGTAATCGAAGGTGTTTTCTTGTTCGTGTCATGGGGTTGTCTTGCTGCGGAGTTCTATGATTTTGGGAGCTTCCTAACGACAACTAACATGCTTCCCCGAAGGGGCTTTGGCTGGGGACTTGTATGTTTAATTGGCTTGAGTTACAGCTGCAGGAGAAGCCGGAGGAGAGAACAGAAAAAATGAACTATTTAGATTCTGGACTTAGCTTCTGGCTACTGCCAAAAATTGCAGTTGCGTTGCTCTCAACGCGCTTGCTCAATCAAAGCATACCAATTCAGAAGCACCATAATCCTGTACTGCATGCATCACATGTTGGACCGCATCTTGACTGAGTCAAGTGCGAAACGATGTAGGATTAGGCATTCTCGGACCCAAAAGCAACAACAACACCCTACCATCCTAGGCAGAAGTCCGCCGGGCTGGCGTTGAGCGGATGGCCCGAGGGTAGCCGTTGGCCGCGATTATCAGGAGCGCCTGCTGCCACATGAAGCTGCAGCTCCATGACAGAACGGGATCTCAGCCTATGGGGCTTTGTCCATACAAGCTCGGAAGTGTAGCTGGAAAGGATGGAACCACGCAAAATGTACAGAACCCTGATAAGCTCGCAGACTTTGCGCCTGTACAGTCTGCACGAAAAGCTCGCTGCCAACTTCCAATGCCAGATCCTGCGCCAGATTTTCTTGACATAAACGTTGCAGGCTTCTGAGAACGCGCAGCGCCGCCAACAACATCTTTATTGTCAAGCCTTGTGGGAGCACAGAGCAAGTGGAAGCGAAGATGACTCTAGACATGCAGCAGCTTGCAAAGCCGAAGTCCAGAGCTTCTGCATCAGCCTGTGCTGGGCTGCATTCCAGCGCGAAGGGATCCGTCTCCCGCGTGTCGAACATGGCACACACCACACTCTCTTCAAGATGTCGTTGTTGCTTAATGTTGCTGTCTCTACGCCGGCATTCTTGCACAGACTCCCGCGTGTGCATCAAGCAGGCCATGTAGGCTCAAGCTTTCATCCATCAGCTTCGGGAGAACGGCAGTCAAACTGTCTTGGACATGTCATCCATTCACTACAGTGATGTTGGGAATGGATTGCTACCTCTGCACTACACAAGCGCGGCTAGTCCCACACTTGTTTGCAGCTGCGTGCTTTGCACAGAGCATTCTACTTGGGTCTGCTCTCAACTTCATGCAACAAGACCCTGACGTTTGCCAAAGGCACAGAACTGGGTGTAGCCGGTATAGCGCCCAGACGTAACCTTAAAGAGCAGGCGCATCCCCAGCTCTGGATGGACTGCCTACACTGCTCCCTACACATCCCGGCACAGACACTTGCAAGTTCAGCGCCGCACGCAGGCGGCAAGACCCTGCCAGTTTTGTCTGCCTTGGGCATAGTTTGTGCATGCATGAAAAGGCCTGAAGTAAATAGCACTGCAGCGCGAAAGGCAATAGGCTAACTACACCGCCAAAGAGCATCGAATGAGCGCCAGGCGATGCTCTGCGTAAACCTCCGAATTTGCACTCCAGGATCTTGCCTATCAAGCTGCAGAGGAAAGAGTGTGAATACGTTCTCGTAGAAGCTGCACCAAGGGCTTTGCATGCGCGTTACCTTCGTAGCCGTAGCAGCACCACCACCCCCACCCCCACCGCCACCACCAGCACCACCACCCCTCTGAGAAGAGCACTTGCCATCCTTGGGGTGAAAGCCATACAAGACCTGCAAGAAGGGCCGCAAGGTGGGCGCACATGGATACACGGAAACACTTGCAGCCGGTTCCCGCCTCGCACTTCAGGTCTTCTGGTAAGCCGTCCTTGATGACACAGAGCCAATTGTGTGAAATGCTCGACTTCAAATCAGGCCAAAGCAAAGCCGCCATCAAATAACAGCGAAAGTAAGAAGCCCTCACAGGTCTGCGGAATGACCACTCAACATGCCAAGCTTCCAAGTACTGTCTGGTGTCATCATCAAGCGACCTGCGCAAGGGAGAACAGAAGGAACGCTCATATGCAGGCAGTTCATGACAGCCATTTAACATCAGTCAACACAGAATCATCAGCTAGCACAAGTACATCAACCATGGAAGGCAAACGAACACTTCCTCAAATGACTCAAAACAAAGCGCCATTTGTGCAGCCATCGCAAGAAGAAGACTCATGCGAGGCCACTGTTCGCTACGAAGATGCTGACTGACCTGGGCAGTAAGAGGTCTGGTGTATGCATGCCTGGGTCGTGGAGTCTTAATGAACATGTTGCCTGTTGATACTGCAGGAAGTGAGCACGCCTGAACATCAGTGCATTGCAAGCAAAGGCAGCTTGCAAGGGTTGATCAATCACAAGCCACCATCCACATCTCTAGAGCGCAATATGCAGCATCAAGGCAGTACCCACTGGCCAAGCACTGCTGATGAGTGCTTCAGAAAGCATTAAGCCTGAGAATGTGCGAATCTGCATTTTTAAACTCGGCATGGTGAAACTGTGTGCCAAGATGAACTCAGCACCGACATCTGTCGCATCTACACAGACTACGTTCATCGCATTTGCTGCGAGAACTCCATGAGTGAACGACCTACTTGGTGCTACTGCCCGCCCCACCGTCCAACTCTTTCAGAAAGTCATCCACTTCGGCGAACATATCCTGTAGGGGCAACAGTGAGCAACTTTCTCGCTTGCATGTGTGCGGCCTTCTTTTCAGCAGCTTTGCTTGTGGAAGCCGCTGGCTTGGAAGATTCACTGTAACCACCACCCTTGGAAGGGACATCACCTGTCCATCGCAAGTGAAAGCAGGGATACAGGCAAAGTGCCCAATGCATGTATCGACATTGTAAAGGTCTGGTTCCATGCCCAGCAGGAAAGCTCATGCCATGTCATATCCTCTTAAGGTGCGTTCGGCTTACATCACCATACTGTCGAGCCTTTGGTGCCACCTGCCAGGACAGCATCAAACTCACCTCAGGTGCAGAAAGGGATCACATGACTTCATTGCACCAGAAGTCTCAAGATCCGCAGGCCGAGTACAAACCAAGCTTACAAGCTATAATAACTGAAAAATTGTGTAGCAGTTCTGATGTTCTGTGGACAAGTCGCTAAACAGCGTGTCAATCTCTGCCGATTTTGCGCTTGGCTTGTCAGATGGCTGTGACGGCGCCGCGGCCTTTTCAACGGTCTTTTCAACTGGCTTTTCCACCTCAAGTGGCGATTGGCATGAAACAGTGGATGATCTAACTTCCCACATGTTTCTCTTTTACACTGGGACTGGCCTTGCGCTCTGATTCCTCAGCAGCAGCAGCCAGCTCCTTGCGCAAGTCCTTGCAGCTGCGTGCGTGAGATCTCCGGGCCTTTTGCCTCAAGCCCTGGCAGCGCTCCTCGTCGCCGCTGTGTCCTGCCAAGGCAAATGCACGATGCCATCTATCTCTGACAGGGAAGCATGTATCCGCCTCCTCCGTTGGACATTTCCTTGGGAGAACCTTCTGCAGGTCCGCCGCGCATTAGCATGGCCTTTGTCATTGCTGGGTCTGTACTATTCCATGTACAGAAGTTGCGCGCCTCGAGCTCAGCCTCCACGTCGCCCTCCTCCGTACCGCCCTGCACTTCTGCCGGGGCGCTTTGCGCAGCCTTGGAGCACCTAAAATTGTTTACTTTGCTATTCGTTGAAGAGCAGGTAGGGCCTCCTCACGCAGCTGCTTTGACACAGCGCGGGCCTGCAGAGCAATGCATTCACGACAGGACCTCTTTCCTCTGTGGCAGGAGCCTTCTCGAAGACTGCCGCATCTTCAGTTGCTGCCTGCTGCACCTAGTGAGGGTCTTACGCAAGGCAAACTCGTATCTGACTCATGGCGATCTGGCATTGCTGGGCACAGCAATCGACGTGCTTTTAACTTGCACTTTGAGCCTTCTCTTCCTCTTCAGTGGAGTCTTCGTTTTTTGGCACCTTGTGCAAGGATCCCGGTCCCGGTTGCAGACGTGCTGGGTTTTGCGCAGTCACAAAGCCTCCTCGAAGACCAGGTCGACGAAGAAGTCATCCGTGAAACGATCGTCAGTGCACGCGGCATCCAACTCGAATTTGCTGAGCTGCAGACCTCTAGGCCCAACATTGAGGTGCAGCGATTCCCGCCACGAAGCAAAGCCACAGAAGCGCAGCGCAACACTTTTATGAGCAAAGAGAAGAGCTTGAAAAAACTGCTAAGGCCTTCATTGATGAAGTTCGTATGGAAAGCCAGCTTCATGGCCAATTCCCGCTTGGCGTCCAGATAGAGATGAAATACCTGCAGCGCCCACCAGGCACACTTTCTGCGCTGCGTAAACTACATGCAGCCTGGATCAAGACGTCTCCTGACACGAGCAATTGCGCTGGAAGCGCGAAGGCGACCACCTCGGCACGATGACTGCTTCAGCGCTCACACCAAGCGTGTCAAAGCTGGATGTCCCAGACTTCAATATTACATGAACTAAAGCCTGCACGCAAGTACGGTGCCTCAAGTGCAGTATCAATTGCTGCTGGACATCCGTGCTGCCCACGGAATCACTGGAGGCGTAGTTGCTGGGCCATACCGCCTGAGCTCCCAAATGCAGCGTCCATTTCGGTGGATGCAGATGGCACGCCTCATCGCTCTTGCCACCTTTGAAGGAAGAGTAGGCCAATTCTCCAGCCACCCAAACTTCGATGAACGGCCGGAAAGCCGCGCTTCCTGAAAGGATCTCAGGAACTTTAGGAATGTCAGGGAGTGCATTTGGTATCAGAGTTTGGGATTCAGCTCTCTGCCTTCCAGGACGATTCAGCCTTCTATGCTGCCAGGCCACCTTCCGCTTCAAACGCTGGCACGCCACTCAGCAAAGCCTCGCACATTTACAGCGACTAATGGCTGCCATGTGCCCAGTTACACTGTGTGACTCTGTGAGTCTTCATTGGGCCGCCAAGCTCAAGGGTTGATCCTCTAGTACACCCGTTCCGCAGAGTAAGGCAGCTAGAAGTTGCAAATGGCTTTTGATTGCGGTGCAGTCGAGCTCTGGAATGCCTTTCTAAACACGAAAGGAGTTGTTAACATCAAATGCGAAATCTCAGCAGACAAGCTTTATGGAAAGTCACCCAAGTCATTCTACCAAGCTGAACGCAGAAGCCCACCTTGGACAAACGCAGGCGCTTCGCTTGTGGCGTGGTGCCCTGGATACAAAACACATCGCGGAAACTGCTTGTACCACGCATGGTACAGTACTAGCTTGGCAGTGCGAACGTAATATCATCAAAGAACTGACATGGATAGAGCTCGTGGTAGGCCTATACAAATGATCTGGACAGTACACTGTGCAGGGCACCTCCAAGAACTGGTGGAAGTATCCTAGGATTGCTTGGCAAGCAGCTTTCACACGAGGGCGGCTGTGACAGCACCTGCCTTTTACCCGAAGTCTACTGAGACTACTGAGCTGCGGCAGTTCTGCCCCTGACTTTTCAGGATGCACTAAAACAGGGGTTTCTCAGCGTGCCGCAAGGCCATACGCAACATGACCTACTGGAATTTCGTTGATCTTTGCCACTGATACCGAAACCAATGTGGTGCTTGGGCAACTCGAGAATCATACCAGGTCTTGACGGACTCAACCTCATAACCTGCCGTTAGCATGTCAAACCGGCCGAGGTTCCCAAATATCGCTGCTGGGATGGAAGCAGTTGCACTGGCAGGCGCTCGGCGATTGTCTGAAGGGCCTCCTGGCCAGACCCAAAGATAACACAAGAAGAGAGCGGATCTTCTGATTCTACGCTCTGTCGGCCACATCCTACCTGGCAAGACGTAGCTGTCCTTGGGGCTTCGCCGTCCTCGGAAGGACTCAAAGCAAGCCCCGAAGAGTGCGGATCGGCCGTAACCTTCCAAGTCCCCAAACAGACTCGTCAGCTACTGAGTCAGTCTTATGATGCCTTATGTGTGCCGTTGCCTGATCGACAGTGAACTACGAGAAGGTTGCCGGATTCTGTCGTCAGCCACTGGCTTGCGGAAAGGCAAAGTTCCACCAGGAGCTTCCTAGCAAAGTGCATCTCTGAGCACGTGAATTCAGCGCGGGCACCCCAAAACGTGCACAACGGCTGCCGGTGAGGTTCAACGGCGGAGTTTCCATCTTCTGCAGATCGACATCTAAAACCTCTGCACGGATGGATCTGCCCAATTTGTGCTAGCTTGGCAAAGGAAAAGCCTACGGGCCTCACCATCGAACTTGCTCCTTTCGTAGGGCTCCTCTGAGAAGTTGAAGATCAACAACTTCTGGCCATGGGATTCATTTAGCCGCTTGGCCTGAGCTGCTGCCAGGAAAAACAATCGGAGAACAAAAAAAAACTTCAAAAGAAGGCCATGCTAAATTCATCGAGGGTGCAAGCCTCTCAATGGTCTCCACCGACGGATATTCCATGATCACCAGGTCTGGCTGCCTGCAGGCTAAAGACTCTTTCGCAGCCGGTCGAAAAGCCATGTCTTCTGTCCGATCTACATTGCCATCTGCGATCATGCGCTGCCTGACTGCAGCCAGGGGTCAGTGAGTAGATTTGGCAATCAAGCTCCTCGAACGTCCGTCGGTACTCTGCTTGAACCTTGGGGTCACTGCAAGCTGAAGCGACTGCCAATCCAGCTGGCAGCTAGCATCCAATTCTTGCGCAGCGACGCTCTCGGAGACCTTGTTGGCCGCCTCCGCCACCTGCCACAAGCATCAGCCAAGGCTCAAGATCTCAGTGTAGCTCAACACTTGAAACGCAAAGCCGCAAAAAGGGAGTCAACGGGAGCGGGCCTGATTGGCAGCATCCCGAGCTTTTTGAACGAAGTCCACCTGAGCTGCGACAACGCATGCGGTTGGAATGCAAAGACGCACGGTCTCCCCACATGTCAGCAGGCTTGACATAGCTGCCTCTGCAAATTTCTGCACAAACTCCGAATCCTGCAGTTGGTCCACCTTTTCCTGCTCAGGATCTGATGCGTACTGCCAGCGTAAGCAAACATACAACCAAAGCAGAACTATTCTGAGGCTTATAGCGGAGGGAGGCAAAGTGACTGTGCATTCATGTGGAGCCCTGGCCTGCGCTTTCTTCAGAGTGTCAGCTGCTTTTGACAGAAGCCACGCCATAGCAGTTCTTCAAGGGGCAGTCGTGGTCTCCAACTAAACAACTGAAGAACTTCAGGGAGCACTGATCTCAACTTTGGTCCTCAACACCTTACTTCCGTTTCTGCATTCATCCTGGTAGACTTTGGCTGCTCAGTGAAAGTGCAGGAGATGATTTGAAAATACTTAGGCTTTTTCTGCAGCTGGTGCCTTAGGTTAGTCAGCGCGAATTCAGAAATCAATCTGAAGCCAATGCCATTGCCAACAGGCCGACAGAAATGCGGGCGCCCTTTGCTAACAGCTCCTGCATGCTCCATTTGTTCCACTTGTCTACTTTGATTTTGAAGTAGCAAGTTCCATGAGCGGATTGCTCCAACTGACTGAGCATTTTAAAGAAACTCGTGCCGCACCATCGACCATCGCACCGGGGATCTCGCAAAGTTGGGTGAGCAGCACCTGCAGCATGAAATCTTGCTATGGCACTGGCAGCATACTGAAAGTAGCTACTGGCTTGCCTGCGCGTGTCCGAATGCAGAGGACTCAACCAAGCATTACATCAGCAAGCATCACCTTTCGCGGCTCGGCGCCACGTCAAGGGCAAATCTTTTTCCACTTTGCCGAACGACAGAGCTCGGCCGTGCCAGATTATCTGTGCGGCCAAGCGTTTCTTCCTTCCCTCCGTTTCAGCAAGCGGAGACCGCACAGCTTGGCGACCTTGCTGAGTCCTTCTTCCTGCTCGCTGGGGATACACAGCCCGAATCCAGCATCGAAGCAATTCACAGTAGATATGTCCAGCTCCAGCTGGTATGGCCTCTCTGCTGGAGTCCCAGTCAGCAGTGAGCTGTTAGTCCAAACTCAAAGACTTGCTCACGACCGAGTTCAGGAGGTGCGCATGGTCTTCCTCTAGTGAGAAGAGCCATGTTCATTTGTCGTTGTAGGTGAAGATCCGTTGCTGCGGTGAGCTGTCACTTCCACCCACCTGACAATCTGATCAGGTCCCGGAAAACATGACAAGCAAAAGCTATGAACTTTGAGGGCGCCTTGCCACTCCCGATCAGCTCCTGGTACACGGCTGGGGCAGTAGACACTGGCACGAAAGTCAAGTCGATCCACTCCTGCTCAAGGACCAGAGAGGCAAAGCTCTTTTCATCTGAGGTATGCGCGAGCGGGAAAGCTACAACCAGGACCCTGACAAGCTTTTGCAGAATCGCGCAAGCAATCTGGCAGTGATCATGGTGTTGATGAAAAAGGAGAACCCGTTCCGAGGCTGGCGGGCGGGTGGGCGGGCCGGCAGGCGGGCGGGTGGCAGTGGTTTGTAGGAATGCAAAAGAAGTCAAGCTGTCCTCTAGAGATGGCTCCTCCACCGTTCTTGCCACAGCCGCCACCACCCACCCATCAAGTAGCAAGCCCTGTCTAGTCTAGGCTCATGTTCTCACATGCACATCGCACAAAGCAAGCGCAGCCATGTCCCGGCTTGACCGCCAGAGATTCGGTGCTTAGGGACTGCAGCCTAGTGATCGAAACCTGGCTGAAGCAACCGAACACAGCTGCACTGTATGGTGCGATGTCCCACTAGCATAGAAAGCCCACTCCATCCTTGGGGCGTAGCTCTCGAATGAACGACCATGCCAGACTGCTCCGTCGCTCCTGCCACATGCTTCCAAGCAGAGTCTCTAACTTACTCTCAGCCTTGAAACCAACCATCCTTATCCCAGCGCGTCGAAAGCTGTGCAGGAATTCGGCTTACCTGGCACCAACACAACAGCTAAGAGCAGCTCGTACATCCTCAGGCTCCACGCCTGCGATGCTTTCATAGAGATCTCCGAACGGTGGAAACGAAGACCCAGCGGGAGACTCGTGACGGACTCCTCATACAGTGAGCCTTAGTCGTGCAAACCAGCAAGCGTGAGCAGCTTTTACCTAAGTGCCACAAGGGCTCAAGCGATGTGTAATTTGAGGTAGAGAAGCCAAGCACAACGGTCCCGCCGCGACGGCACAGCTGAATGGCAGAGGCCAGTGCATCTTGTGAGCCACTCACTTCAATGCAGATGTCAAAGTCATCGCCTTCACTGCAGACTGTTGGAAATCTTTGCTGCAACGCCGTGACCCGCTCGGCCCTGGTGTCGAAAACGGTGACAGCGTGCCCGTGGTGCGCCAACACTGCCGCCGTGAGAGCGCCAACCGTTCCTGCTCCGAAGATAGCGATAGACTCCCCTATCACCGGGGCAGCATCTTGGCATAAAGCGCAGGCTGTCTCCATGTTGGCAAAGAACACGGCATCCTCATCCGAGATATCCTTATGGAGATCAACGGATAAACAAAAGCTAAAAGAGCTTGATAGAAAAACATGGACGGGGTGCACCAAGAGGCAAGCAACACAGCATGGCAAACTCTTCCGCAGCGAATGTGTGCGGCAGCTCGCAAAGAGCGAATGGGCAAAGAAGAAAAAGTTGTACTATATTGCACTGCCCATAATTGCAAAACATCAACATCCAAGATTCGGATGGAATTTCCTTGATGGCAGGAAGGCGTACGACTGCGTGGCTGGCATGAGGATGGAAGCAGAAAACTCTATCCCCGGGCGAGCGGTCAGCCGATTCCGAGTCAAGAACGATCCCAACGATGCAGTACCCGTACCTGAAAAGGAGTGCATTCCAGCCGTGCCTGTAGTGCTGCTCAGAAGATCAACATTCATTCTGCCTGAAAGGCCAAGATGTCTGACCGTAAGCGTGGGCCACGTCTAACGGCTCCAAGCCTGGACCATGCATCAGCATTCGCCTCACAAAGCTAAACAGTAGACTGTGGACGTGACGTCACGTATTACGACGCGATTCAAGCTTTTGCTGACCGTTGCCTCTCTGTCCCGGCCGAGATCCTGAGCCAGAGTTCCAAGACAAGACACCAGCTTCTGCTGCCTTGATACTGGAAGCCTCAAGGCTTGATTTCAATGGATTTCATGCTTTTCATCCAAGGCTCGCGGAATATTTTGCCTTCACCACCACTTCTCCCTGCCACGGAGGAGCCAGAGGCAAGTGCAAAGCGCAGCTTGCAGGGATTGCAGGCAGCTGTCACCGTGCTGAGATCTTTTCTAGACCGAGCTGATGGCCCAAGCCCAAGGCCAAGTCATTTGCCGGCCTCCTCTGGCAGAGGCAGGGTCTCTGAAACCTGACCCAAATGCCAGCATTAGACGCTTGAGCGCTGGCTTTGAGAGATATGTCTGGAGCTATCTGCCAGGCCCATCTCATCTCCTATCCCTCCAGTTTCCTGATTAAAATTGGCTCACAAGCCACTTCCCGTAAATTCATCTAGCAGCCAGGTGCACTTTGCCGGGGCCGGAAAACTCCACAACCAAACGCTGAGGCGCTACCTGGGCGTCCAAAACCAGGACATACTTCTAGGACATTCCAGGCAGCGAAGGCGTGAGTGTTTCAAATCCAGCCAAGAAACATGTGACGCATCCGGAACTTGACCGAGGTAGTCCACCTCAGCTGCCCACCGTTTACCAGGTTGAGTCACACCCCTCTGGCAACAGCCATCTTCCAGAATGCAAAGCCAACAGGCAAGTAGCATTCTCCACCTTCAAGACAACATCCTCCGCCAATGTTTGGGCCTCCCTTCAACACTAGTAGTTTCCATTTTCTTTTCCATTATCCCTATAAATAATCCTTACTATACCCTATATAATCCCTTTAAAGGGACCTAGGGTTTCCATTTTCTTTTCCATTATCCCTATATAGTTTCCTACCTACCCCAGTATGCCGTAGCTCCTCGGCCAGGTCGTCAGGGCCCTGCAGCGCTGCGACAGCCTTGGCCACTTCAGTGTGGCCGTGGAAGCCTGCAACTGCCCCAGCCATCGTGGCATCATCTAAAATGGAAACTAGTAACTACTGTAGTATATTGAGGTAATCATGGGTTATATTGGGTTATATTGGGCTTATATTGGGTTATATTGAGGCTATATAGGGATAATGGAAACAAAGAAGTGGTTGAGCCTGCCTAGGGCATTGACTGCCATGAAGGAGATCAGCTGCTTCATAAGATCTGGACCAACCTTCCAGGCTCTTGAAACGAAAGCAGATGAAATCCCACGAGCCTGTCTCTGGTGATTGCGCGGCGCCTTCGAGTCAAGGATCCAAGGGGATGCTCCTGAACCAAAATGAATTCACAGAAGAACTATGGGTCGCGTTGAAAAGCCTGCAAAGGGGACCGTTCAGGGGCCAGCCGGCAACCTTTCATAATTGCTTCTTCCTGTACCAGGCTCCTGTTGCAATCGTCTCACCCAGCGTCTTGTAAAAGGACGTCACGTTGGTGACCTGTCAGCCCTCTTCATACGAAAGGCAGGAAAAACAACGTTTTCAAAGCCAACAACTGCAAGACAGCGCAGTGAGGCCGGTTCGCCTGGCCGCGGCACTCCAGAGAGCGGTTGTAGTCCCGCGTAAGCAACTCCATTTCCACATCACGTGTGGATTGGAAGACAGTTACGCCGGCATAGTGGATAGGAAAGTAGAGCAGAGCTCCTGCCTGCTCAAGTTCGTGCATGCTTTTGTCAGCTGCCAGCTACAAAGCGTTCTCAGCCTGGTGTTTTCGCAGAGCGGCTGCCAGCGAAGAAACGTCAATGAGGTCCAATATCGAGCATCCTCACTTCTGGTGCATTCAGGACTGGGCTCACTAGCCGGCATCTTGCAAATTTGCTGCCAAAAAGCCAACGATCAAGGTCTGCGGCGGCACCGTTTCCAATGCTTCGATAGCATCACCTGGCCTTCGTTCGAGCAGGTGAAATGTGCTCGTCAGCTCATGGGTATTGCAATGCAGCTGTAATTGCTCGATACTTGTTTATTCTGCCAGCTTTGTGGTAAAACGTTCAATTTTGTAGGCACGTGGCCACGACAGCAAAAAATGCAAGTGCGATTGACTGCGTGCATGGAACGATCTCCTCTGCTCTCGGATCAGCTGATATGGCTACATCTCAACATTGTCAGGCAAGAGACTTCAAAGTAACCGTCACCTGCAGTGTGCAAGCTCGAGCTTGAGAAGTACCGCTTGGGAATAGCAAGCAATTTGTCTTGCCTGGCGGTCCGGCAGTTGCCAGGTGTCAGGCAGGGAATCGTGTGGGATCGCACTAAATTGCGACTCGAGACCTTTGCTTCCCCGCCCCAGACATCCCAAGAAAGGGCACTGAAAAAGAACAGTTAGGAATGCATCACCCCAAAATTCTCACGAGTGTGTGTATTGTATGCTCCTTTTATGGATTATTGGCAAACTTGGCCTCGCATCCCCCCAAGGTACTATCAGGATGCTCTCCGAGGAGCGCTCCACCGCAGCCTGCTTCAGCAGCACCTCATCCCGGTCCACGGCTGTGTACTTCACCCGACAACCTCAAAATGAACGCAGCACTTGGGATATAGCATATTCGGCATGTAATGGAAATACTTGACTTGCCCAGGAGATGATGTCCCCTACAAGCATGCAGCGCCCAAGACAGCATCTTATGGTGCAATTCTTGAATGCAGAGCTTTCGGAACGCCCTTGCAGAGTGCTACCTGATTTGTGTAGTTGCAGCAACATGCAGGCTCTACGTACTGGCTGCTGCTTTTCTGCTGACAAAGGAAAGAACCAAAAAAAAAAAACGCACTTGACTCCACCCCTCTCATATCAACATGCCCCCAGCATCTTTCAGCTCTGCTCCTCTCCTCGCCCTTTGCGGAGCCAACCGGATCGATGGCTTGGCTTGACCGCAGGGACACCTGCTGCCTTGCCTCCATGTTGAAACATTCAAGTTCGGGAATCGAGCGGTGTTGTTCAGACGGCAAGATTCGGACGACCCAGGGAGTCAAATCCGAGCAACGTTTGTCGACATTCAGGCGCAGCACTGCGAGAATTCAGGAAATAATCCCAATAATCCTTCCCCCAAAACCCTGAACCTAAAGCCAACCATAACCCTTCCACTCAGACCTAGAGAAATCTTAAAAGTTAGAAGGCCCTACCTAAACTCACATGCTACCCCGGCTCAATCCTAAGGCCAGCCCAAACCTAAACCCTGAACCCCAAAGCCCAATCCCAATCTCAACCCCAGACACTATAGAAAGCCTGGAAGCACTTGAACCCTAAAGCCTTTTAGACTGTTAACCCACCTTAGGACTGCCTGCTTCCCTATCAGCAACAGTAAGATACCAAAAACAACTCTTGCAGCGCAGGACCAACTAAGCTAACTAGGCAAGCCCCCAACATCAACATGATGCACCCATTCATCTGGAACTCGAACGCGCAATCACAAACCCTGCATCCAGACCGACTCTGAAAGGGCATTGGGACACCCCTCAACCGAACAGCGACGGCGTCTGTGTTTCCGGAATTTTGCCGACCCTCTTCCAGAATTGCGCCGACCTTCTCCAAAAATACGCCCAACTGTTTTCGGAATATGCCGAAGTTCGGCGTCAGAATGAATGGCCCTTGCTGCTTCCTGAAGCTTCCGGGCTGTTTCCTGAATTTGGTGTTTGAATTCCGCAATTGAAATTCCGGAATGTGTCTTCGTTCAACTTGAGCGGTCGTACGTCTTGAAGCACTCATCGCCCACACTGTGCACCCGAGGAGCCTTCTGGTAAGGCCTGCAGAATCACAGAAAGCATCGAGAGCGTGCCTCAGTGGCCCCGCAACAAAGCTCAGTGTTGTGATGTGCCCCCGCGTGAAGCCAACTGTGCTCCCCCTGGCCGAGCCTGCACCAAGATCAAGAACAGAAATCTGCCGGCCTCAGCAGCACCAATTTGCAAGCATCCTACACATACCACAAGATACCACACCCATCCACTCACAAAAAAGCCGGGTCCGGAGCCTCGGGAGGCAAGCTCGACAGCCAATCGTGCCTGCACATCACCCGCTAGGGCTCGAAGATCTGCGCGCTCTTTGGCCTCACGGTGTGGCAGCAAGTGCACCAACTGGATGGCAAGAGCGTGATGCATCTAAGCAACACCAACACACAATGAATAGCTGAACCGAAGAGATTCAGCCCAGGAGGGCCTGGACGGCTTGGACTAATGCAGATGAGGTGAATGTCTCTTTGATCTAAGCATTTGACATACAATGCATGTAAAACGTTCGGGATGCTTCGGGCACAAAACGGCTGCACATCGTCTCATGAAGCTTTCTCAGGCAGGGCATATAATCAGCCATGCACTGATTTGCCGTCTTAGCACCCCAATGTAACAGAGGGCATGAAGAAGGACGCGGGCTTGGAGTCGTTGCCTGCAGGTAATGGCTCTTGGACAGGCGCCAGCATGAGGGGACCACCTGGGCGCCAAAGAGGCAACTCATCAGCTCTCTCTGAAAAAGGATCAGCTACCTTTCTGCACTTTGCCGCCAATTTTCCAACAGGGCATCTGCCACAAGCGTCATCACATCATCCGAGCGCCTCCTGAGACAGCTTCAGCGGCAATAGTAATTAACATCATTATTAGCTTCATCATTATGATTGTTGTTGTTGTTGTAATTATTACTGTTATTGAAATATTTTTGGGCAGCAGGCCTGCCATCCTACTAGCGTGACTGCTGAGTTGATCCAGGCTTCACATGGGCAGCGGGCAACCCAGCAGCTACGGCAGCGCGCACATGGCCTTTTGCACTGCATTTTATGATCAGCTGCAAGAGATGGTACACTCCGAAGGACTGATCTTCTTCTTTTCTAGCTCCCCAAAGAATGAGAAATCCAGTGCAAGAGACAAGGAGCCAAACGAGTCATCGAAAAACCTTGCGTTTGACGTCCGGGGCAATGTCTCAAAAAACCTGCCATCTAGGCCGTGGAACAGAAGGCCCCAAGCAAGAAATCTCATAGCGGGCGGTCATGGACATCTAATAATGGGTAAAAGTAGTTCGGACGACGGTCTGCGGCTAGAAGGAACAAGTCACTTGCCTGGCATCAGGCTTGTTGACCCAGCCGTTCTCCGGCGATGGGCAGACGATGCGCAGCAGGTCCCCGTCAATCTGAAGAGCCTCCACGTCTATCCAGTAGACTAAACTGTCCTCATGACACCATGACACACAGCCTTGAGGACTCGATCCACGAATGAGCGCGGCGAGTTGGTGGCCAGCCACAAATTCACGTTGTCCGCCCTAGCTGTGGCCAGGGCTAAAGCTTTGAAAGCTGATCTCATGCCGCGCCTCAGCTGCTGGAGCTGTAGAGCCATCAGCGGATCAGGCCTCAATGCCTTCGTTGAAGTTCAGCGGCAACTGAACAATTGCTTTGCTCAGAGCCGGCTACCTCAAGGTTGACTCCGTCGTAGACCTTGGAATAGAAGTCCTGCATGGCTTCTCCTGAAAGATGGCCCTCACGCAGCAGTCCTGGCACAAACAGACACATGTGACATCCAGGCATACTGAAAGTTTACATGGAAGGAAGATGGGAAGATCAAAGCTGACAGGGCCTTGGACTGTTGATCCATAGGATTGGAAGAGCCTTTGGTGTGCCTCAGGCTCCAAGCCAAGAAGCTCAGTGGCCTTGCCCAGCTGCTTCACAATATCGTTTTCCACCCCGGAGTTCTTGTAGAGAACTCCATCCATATCCAGGATCATATGCCAAGATGGGCTCTGGGTGGCTGTCCCTCTCCATCGCGCCGGCGGTTGCCATGTCACAGCTGGGAGCTTAGCACGCTTCGCAAAAGATTCCGGAAGTCTCCACATCGTAGCGACCCGGATAGATCGGCATTACGAGCAAAGAAGCTTTGAGCCATTTGATGCCTGCGTGAGGTCACAGCCTGGCAGGAAGAGCCCTACCACCAGTTTGAGCAAACAAGAAATAGGTGCCAAGTCCATTCCCAAGCGAGGAAACATCAAAGGAACTTCTTGAAGCTTTTCTCTGATTTGAAGCTCCGAGAATCTATCTGGCTAGATGCCAAGAGCGACCTACGAGGGCCTTCCGGGGCTGAAACAAGCGTCATGAAGAGTTTGTTCTGAGAATTCAGCTTCTGGTGTCGCTCTGCCTGGTGGGTGAAACTGCATCTATAAGATAAGCCATGTACAGATTGAGGATATTGAGCTCACTCTTCTGCTCCTGTCCAAAGACACCAAACTGTTCCATCATGTGCTTAGTTGCTGTGCTGAATCTCCAAAGATGTTGCTCCTCGTGCAGTCTTCTTTGATTTTGGGCCCTGCTTCTGGAACTTCTTCCGCTCGAACGGGGTCGGAAGAGCAGCCGCAGCGGACTCGGGCGTCACCTTCCAGCAGACGACATGGTGACAGGACCTGTCACCTGCGCAGTCAACACCCTCTAAATATGCCCTGCCTCCATTGCCAGGCCCGTTGGCAAAAGGGCCACATCCACATCGGCATCTGCAGGGGTTGCTCAAGCTACGTAGGGCATGACATCATTCACCATGCCGTAGGAGCCAGCACACTGCCAGCGGACCCTGCCTCCACGTTTGCGCTTCCGAACTTCAGCTGAATCTGTTGCGAGAGTCCAAGGCTTCTGGAGGCCGAAGAAGGCTAGGACATGGCCTTGGGGAGGGACACAAAACTGTCAGCTAGAAACTTGCACTTTCAGGTCAGCCTTCGTTGACTCTGATGGCAATTGATGGCAATTGATGGCAATTGGGATAACTAGCTGAACAAGCGGCGGATTCCAGCCCAGAGCCGCCAGGTGTATGAGTCATCAGAGCTGGGTTTGGAGCTGGGGTTTGCCTTCTCCCGGAGATTCACAGCCAGAACGTAGTTGTGGCCCCAGAGCAGCAATCTGTCAGGTGCTTCTGGGAAAGCAGCAACTCCACAGATGCGAGCATGGATAGCCAGATGCCGCTTCGGTATATCAAACGGGGGGATATCCGTAGCCATGCTTTGAGACTCAACGTCGAAAAGAGACACCACGTGCGCCGTTGTAACAACAACCAAACGCTGACCGGAACTGTCGAAGCCAATCGCAGTGGCTGCTCCACGCCCGATGGGAACAGAGGCATGGTGATACAAGCCATCCAGGCTGAAGATGTGGACTGCTCCACCCAAATCAGCAGAGGCCAACCACTCTCCGCCAGGCCCACCTGCAGCCAGCAAAGCGACCGGCGCTTTGTGCTCCTCGAAGGTTGCTACGAGAGTCCTGGGCTTGACTTGGGGAGCTTCATCCTCCAAAATGGTTCTGTTTTATAAACTGTGAGAGGTGGCTGCCCAATTGCTGCCAGACTCTTTTCCTCACAGTCGAGCAGGTGGATGGCCTGCTAGCATAATGAGATACGGTAGCTGATAACCATTGCAAACAAGAAAATGCTTATTCGCTGAATTCAAAGCGAAAAAAAAAAGTGATTCCGTAGTGTGATATTTCCCTTTTCCTGCAACTAGGCAAAGACAGTTACATGAAACTGCCACTTGCTGCTTAGCCGCATGGCCATGCCAGGGCGCTACCGCAAGCCTCGACAAAGAGGTAAGAGCCAGGATGGGGCTGTGAGCATGCAAGTTACGTTCAAGGGGCAGCTTCGACGAGCAGAACTTCAGAGCGCGCGCTGCGCCATTGGCGATTTCGAGCGGTAGCGGTACCCGCTGGACCTACTACAGCATGCGAAAAGGAAATTCGCCACATCTGCAAGTCACGGATCTGCACTTCTGTGATTGATGTCCAAATGAACAGACACCCCATAGCAGCCGTAGCAGCCTGCAGCTCACTCACGCTGAGGTCAAAAAGTCGAGTCCCAGTCATATCGCTTGCCGCTACCCGCTTGCCATCTGGTGAAATGGCGGAAGAACACAAGTACTCTGTACCTGATGTCTGCACTGCAAGAATGCATGGACTGCAACTTGTGTGATGTGAGGGCTTGGAAGCAGGAACAGGTCCGGGAATACATCTCCACAAGTCTCGCAACAAAAGAGACGTCCCAAGGAGGCATCCAAGAAGCTTCTCTTACTGCCGTCCGGTCCCACGGACTTGCCGGCCAATGAGATCGTAAGCAAGAGCTGGCCTGGCTTCGTTAGGCTGGGCTCTACCAACCCTCCCTGGCTGTTGTACACAACTTGATCTCGCAGATCGCATCACATCTCTGGTGACTCTGGTGGCGAAGACATGCCCTAAAACACTATAAGGATATGCCGTTTCTTTGCCTTCCGGCGCCCGAGCAGATGCCCCGAGGCTCGGCGCATCATCGGGCTCAGGCCTCGGAATTCACTTGCTCACAGATTCAACAGCTGGCTTTTTGCAGCATGATAGGTTCGGAAGGTGTGCAAGTCTCAAGGGAACGCATGGCTACTTGAGCCGGCATGAGGCTACAATGCCGATGAATTCGTTTTTGAGTGCCCGCAGCCGAAGCAGGCTTCCAGCAGCATGTTAAACCAGAAACACGACGTATGCTGCTACCATGTGCTACAATTGGATGTGCAATAGAAGACAGGGAATCTCGGCAGCCACTATGCCACGCCGCTAAGAGGGCACGGACTGATTCTGTACTGCAGCATGATGTCATGAGATTGTGTTGGTTTTCCTCCTCTGCTCCTAGGATCTAATTTGGCCCTATCCTATCCAAGATTCGCACAGACAACGCCCTCACCAGGAGCGCCAACACCATCAGTTCTCCAGCTACGCCTTCCCTTGCCGAACAAACACTGGTAGCAGCAGCAGCAGCAGCAGCAGCAAAAAGACCAAGAAGAAGCGCCTCCACTACGTGTAGGACAACCAAGTGGCAGATACCAGAGCTCAAGCGTCTGCCCCTTCTGGCAAAGAATGAGACGACCATCTTCTGAAATCGATGCCGTCTGAAATAATGGTGAGAAATTGCTGCACTGGAAGGGTCTCGCCGCTTTGTCGCGACCCGACTCCAGAGGCTTGAAGACGAAGAGCCTGCAATCCAACACGTCTCGCCTTCACAAATGCAGCAAAGGTATGGACAGCAGTGGCCTGCCGGCAGCTCCTGCTGAGATTTGCGTATTCCGTCCTTTCTTTGCATCATCGATGGCGATCGCGCGCACATCGTGGGAATGGCCTAGCAGAAAGTTAGGAATTCTTGCACATCCTTGTCAGCAGGCGCTGAGGCACGAGCACAGCATCGCATCGCGAAAGACCCACCGCTCCTGGATGATAAGATTACTTCTACATCGGCCCTTGGTGACTGGCCGAATTGCCAACTTCCATCTCGTTTTTGCGCAAGAGCTGGCATGCCGAAGTTCAGCAATCTGTCATTGGGATTTAGAAAACCCGAACTGCAGACCCACTAGCTGCGCGACGTGCATTTCTGAATTAGTTGCTCCAGCTCCGTCTTGGACGATGCATCGAGCTCAGGCATCTCATCCGTTATCGCAAAGAGTGAAGTGCAGGGTTTGTTTGTAACCTTCAAAGATGGGCCATCTGGAAGGAGCTTCACATGTCTGACCGTCTCGTCCTTGTCTGTGCTCCCCCGGTCGTAGGCTTCACGCTGGAAGCCCACGTCCAGCATATACCCGATATGACGCCCACGTTGTTTCACTGGGAGCAGGATTGTAAATGACTTCTTTTCCCAAGAATCGAAGCCGCTGGTCGAGTAATTGCAGTTATCATCATCCTCCTGGAGAATACTCATGATTTGTCCAGCTTTGTATGTCTTTCTTTCCTTCCTGCGAAGCTTTTCAAAAGCCTCCCTGAGATTGAGCAAAGGTAAGGGCGGCGGTTCCCCATCCTCTACATCCTCTACATCAGGAGACTGCTCCTCCTGTGCGTTCACTGAGTTCACCTGCCGCCTACTGCAACACGGCCCCATCGCGACGAAAGCTGGAGGCTCAGAAAGTGCTACAGGCAGGCAAAAAATCAGCAGTCAAGGTCGCTTGAGCAGAAGCAACGGGTCAAAGGGAAACTCTTGAGGTACAGCTCACACAACACGAGGCACATGCGGGTTCGTCTTGTGGAATACACTGTGGCTTGGTGAGGCAGCTTCTCCTGGCTACCCTTTTGACGGCCAAACTCGGAGATCTTTGCGTCAACGCTGCCCGAGAGAAGTGTGCGCCCATCGACGCTAGCTGCTAATACCTGCAAGCAATCGTGTCTACAATCGTCCATAACCTAAAGTCACTTCAGTGCGAAGGTTATTTACCAATTTTTTTGAGTCCAAGGCACAAGGACATCAGCCTGGTGCTGGGCAAAGCGATGGAGCAGCACGCAGGCCACCTGAATAAACAGCTCTAAACTGAAGAAAAGCCGTGTCAATAACTGAGTCCGAAGCAGTGTCCCAGATCTGTACCAATCCCAGGCTGTCCCCACTGGCCAGCATCTGGTCCTGTCATGTCCGCTGAAGAGAAGAGATCAGCATATCAGCATCGTATGACCGCAGGTCCTCGAGCGAGACTAGGCTCCAAATCCTGCTCAGACGCACAAAATTGCTCTCAAGAGTTGCTAGGGGATCGGTTGAAACAACACGCCCCCTGTCTAGCTTTTCTATACAGCGGCTGGCAACATCAGATGAACCGGCGCCAAGTCGCAGCGTTTGCCCACGCTGAGGCTTCCTTAGCTGAGCCGAGCGCCTCCTACCAGCGGCTTCCACGAGACTTTTGCTAAACTCTACGAGCTCTCTCAAGTAGCACGTAGGAAGCAGGGAGTGTTCAGAAAATCCAAAACTTTTTTGAAAAAGCTCCAAGCCAATAGCCGAGAGTCTCTAGCTGCATACTGCCTTCGCAGACTCCAGCTTCGATGCTCCATTTAGAGATCTTGCTGTCAGCCCCTGCGAAGATCGCGGTGTCCTGCCAAGGTTTGGGGATGCTTGTATTTAAGAAGAACTGCCCCAGCTCTCCTGCACGGCGAGACTGAGAAGTCGGGTCTTGGAAACGTTTATTCGCTTGGTATACATCAGCGACCCTGCACCCCCAGTCAAGGACAGGATCCGTATAGTCCCATCCTTAGACCAGCCACAGGCTAGAGGTCCCTAAGCTGGCATGACAGATCCCTCTCGCGACATGCTCAAAACATCCATAATCAGAACTAGAGTCTTCCAAAACCACTTTCCCACTTCGCTTGAAAAATAGGAATGATAACCCAAGCAAATGGAGACTGTCATGCGCAGCTTCTTGCAGATCACAAAAACTGCCAACTGTCTGGGTTGACCTGCGCATATCATGGCAAGAGTCATCGCAGGCGGCAAAAAGGCTCTGCCCCTGCACCTTCAAGCCCCAGACGGCACCGCCACCTGTATAAGCAGTGTTCACACTCAGACTAATAAGTAAAGGCTCACGCGCCTGGAGAGCAAGTCTCTATGGGCTCTAGAGTTTCCACGTCCCACTCGGTGACCTCTCTGTGAAGCCCGGCGGATATCAGCCGCAGCTGCTGCCGTCCTTCTGCCTCACCATGCACTGCATCATAAGGTCTCAAGAAGGCTTCGCAAATGGACTAATGGAACTAGTAAGTGTAAGCGGCAGAGTCGACCACCCAAACGATGCTTCTCACAGAGCGCCGTGAGTTTCCAGGAGCAGAACTTCGCAAGTGCCAAGTCTCTGTGTCCCAGAGCTCTAGCGCTCCATTCCTCAATTTGAGGCTAAACAGAAAGCATTCCTAACCTGTCCCAAAATCTGTTGGTTTCTATATATATATATATGTACTGACAGCTACTGGGCACCTCAACCCTGAATCCAGCCAGCGCGAAGCCTGATGGGGCACAAAATAGGAATATTCCAAGTGTGCCGCATGACCAGCACTTTAGCGTAAGCATCTTACTTTTTCCAGGAATCGCTAGGCTTAGCTGTCTCTTGTTGCCTCTTCGAATTCTTCTTGCGGCACAAATGCTTCACACGCATATCGTGGCCTACGAGTTCTGAAACACAGCACACGCAAGGTAGCAGGGGCATCAATCAACTGCTCTCAGTCTCTCCTTTCCTCTTGCCTTCTGCTTGTTTGCATAACGTGCATCCCAGACATACACTTGGAAGATTTGGAAGTCGCTTTTTTCCAAGGCGCTCTCTGCCGACCGCAAGGCGAGCTGCGAGGCGAGGTGATGAGCCGCCCGAGGGTGCGATTGCAATTGAGTCGATGCCGACAGGTTGCCATTCGCAGACTCGGGTGCGCAACAATTCCATGCTGTCTCTTATGCTAGGCTGGACAGCTGGAACATAGCCATCCTTGAGAATATTCGCTACAGCTGCGCACTGCTCTCCATCAGAACACCTTTCGTGCTTAGAACAGCAGGCGCAGCCTGCTGCGACATGTGCACGTCATTGCACGTCAACAAATGACAGCTGCGCTCCTTTTCCGACTCGGATGACGCTGACCTGTACCCTGTCGCGCTACAAACTTAACTTCTTAAAAGGATGAGCGGCTGCCTTTGGCAAGCTAAACACTCTCCTGAACTACGGTAGCCGCGTTTATCCATACAGCGAGAGAATGATGATCTTGGCCTAGCGCCTTTGCCCGTCTTGCCTACGCTGCTGCCGCTCTCGCTCTTCCTTCTCGCGCAGATGCTGCCGCACGTAAAATGCAATGACACCAACAAACCAGCCTATGCCTTGAGCGACGCGATGCTCTGAAGGAAGGATGTCAAGCGCCAAGTACCGGGTCACCCGATGCTCTGGCTCGTTGTAGCCCAACATGAAGCCCCAGCCAGCTGCAGCTATAATTCCTCCAGCATAGGCTGCCTTCTCAAGCGTGTTCATCTGCTGCCATTGGTTCTTTCCACGTAGGCCATCCGAAATGTTCTGCAAATACGTCCGGTCATCTTCAGACAACGAGGCAGATGCCTCACCATTTAGGAACTGCTGCAGCCGCTGTCCGTTCATCTGCAGCTGACCTCGGCATACCGGGCAAGTAGCTTGGCGGCCCTGTCGGGAAGCTGTCACCCAGGACTGCAGGCAATGCGAGTGGAAGTAGTGATGAACCCCTCCGTGACCCGCGCATCGCATCGCAGCCTCCCCAGGATGGATGGCTTCGAAACAAATAGGGCATTCCCCATGCTCTTCCTCAGGGTGCACCTCCTGCGAGGGCGCAGTCGGGATGCATAGCTCCGTAGCTACATCTGATGGACTGATGGCCAGGCGCCGAAGCAAGGCGGGGTTATTCTGAAGGTTTTGATAGGAACCGGGCTGGGCCAAGCTCTGCACACTTGGACCGAGCTGCGCGAGGATAGCCTGCACCATAGCAGTCAGCACGGAGCGATCGTCACTGGCGAAAACTAGAAGGCCAACTGATGGATTTCTCGGGTTCCGGATGACTAGCTGGAACTGGCGCTGCCGGAACAACGACAGGGGTGACCATGCCGGCGAGGCAAGCAGCAGTGTTCCTGAAGGCTCCATGTCCTCCAAGCTCAGATCATTCAAACTGACCTGAGCACTCTGAGTTGAACTGGATGCAGAAGACGAAGCTCCAGGACCTCAGGCTTGCCAGCATTGCCATCGCTCCCTTCTGCTCCCTTCTTGCTGTTACCAAACAATCTCTCAAGGTTTCAGGAATGACTTGGCCAAAATACGCAATGCTTGGTCTGCGTCTGGCCCGGAGTGCCCCGGAGGAGCAGAAGGCTCGCCAGGCGGCGCAGAGGGATCACAAGGCGCAGAGGGCATCCCTGTACCAGACATTGTCCGCGCTGCTTCCTAGACACAGGTTTGCATCACCCTCTTGGCTGGCAAACCGCTCAAGCCCTGCGCACGAACGATTCAAGTCGAGGAACATCTTTGAGGTCCTGCAAAAGCTCCTGCAAGACCATGAGCAAAGAATCTTTCCCAAAAAAAAAAAAAAAGAAACCATTGCACCGCGTGGGCTGCGCGGATTCCTTGAAGGAGCTGCAAAGCTTGGTGTGCTGGCGAGCTAGATCTTCCAGGGCTGCCGGTGGGAGGGCCTCAGGACCAACAACACAGACTCTTGGAGGGCTGAGGATGCAGCTGTGGACCTGCAACCCGAAGTCCACAATCACACGCTGCATAAATTGAACCTCAGATGCTCCCTCATGAACTCACCTTGCAGGGTGCTCCTGTTTGCGGAGCATACTTCCTGCAGCTACCGTACCATCTGCTCGCGTGTGCCATGCTGTGCCACCTGGCGGTAGCCGGACCTGGAAGTCTTCAAAATGACTGGATCAGTTTTGGGCCCGTGCTCACCGAACAATAAATACTCCTGCTTAGGAACTCATCCACGCCGACCTTTTCCAAGTCAGAGGCCATGGCGGCCGAAAGAAAGGTAGAAAGATGTAGAAAGACTAGCTAAGAGACGGTGACCTCTTAGTTGACATTCCCTCATGTTAAAAAAAAATCTTTATGTAGCGAAGCTCCCAGTTCAACTTGAGCCGAAGCTTGGACAGAGGATGATCTTGCCTTATGATGGTCAGTCAACATTCGATACGCATGATCCATGGAAGCCTATACTGCACAACGCAAAACAACACCAGGCTAAACCCTTCAGGCCTTTGATGCCCAAGTCGCAGAGCCGGCGGCCTCTCACTGGAGCAGGCTAATCAGAAGACGTTGCATGCTGGCATGCGCACGGCGTGCCGTGCGTGAAAAAGGCTCTGAGCAAGCGGAGCAAACCATCAATCTCTAGGCGGGCGCTCAGCACTCAGCAGGCCCACCCTCAAGTTTCCTCAATGCATGCAACTTGCAGACAGTGCCATGCCCTCAGGTGAAACACATGGTGCTGGACTTCAGCAAAGGAGCCGGGCACTATCCACAATCCAGGGCTGCAAAGAAAAGTTGCACATCGCAATGCAAACTCTGTCTCGAAATATTCTCGATCTGATCTACAGTCTCCACACCCTGAACTGCCCGAAATCCTGCATGTGGTAACATCGAATGTGAAACACTGCAGACTGGCGTTGCCCCGTTGTAATTCGCTGTGACGTGTAGTTAAGAATATTAACAGTCTGATTAAGATTGGGGACTGCGACAGTCGTTCGAAGCTTGTGATATTGGGATGGGGCACATCGACAAGCTGTCGGAAAAGCACGAAGTGCGAAGGCAATGAACAACGCGACAGAATCTGGAACTCAGTCCAGACGTGTGATTTGTCGCAGTGTGCTGTCGCGCGTATTGCGGATGTCCTTCTTGGACAGATCCTGCGTGGTGGCGGCTCCAGCAGGCGACGTGAGGGCGCCATTGAAGCGGGAGCTCTGCTCGTAGCTGGTGTACGGCGAGATGCCCGAGGGCATAGTCTGGGCACCCCCAGGCAAGGCGCCACTGGCACCGAAGCCAGAGCCCGAGGCGCCCATGGTGACCTCTGCACCAGGCAATGCCTCACAGGGAGTAGCAGGAGCCTCAACAACCTTATCCCAGTACGGGTCATGAAAACTTGAAGCTCCTCCATCTGATCCCGCGTGAGCTGCGCGTCCTGGAATGCTCCACGCGGTGACACAGCAAGACAACACCCAAACCACACTTACTTTCTCCTCCAGCGGATCGGCATTGGCAGTAGAGAGGATGGTTTGCCGCAACTCCCGCAGCGACTGGTTGGCCGCGCGTGTGGTCACATCCTGTCATGCACGATCCGTGGGGGCCTCACGTTCACTTGTTGAAGCCTTTTGTCTGGACAACTTTTTCCCCCTCGCACCTTGGCCGAAAGCATGGCCGTGGTCTTCTGCTTCACTGCGCGACGCTCTGCGGCCGTCTTTGGCAGGAAGTAATTGTTCACCTGGCGCCTGGACATATCAAGACGAGGCTGAAAGGCAAACAGGGAGCATGTCAACAGAAAACCAGTGTCCTTCGCCATTTGTGCATGTGCAGCATGCCTGGATTTGAAAGGTCAGGTCAGGTGAATTTGACACTAAAAATCCAAGGTAAGAACTTACACGTCCGCCTTGTCTTCGAGCCAAAAACTTTCAGCAACATACAAAAGACCATAGCCAAGCCACCCAGTAGGCGCCGCCGCGTCAGCACACCACGCCAACGCCGCTGAATCATCAAAACCACATCCTAGAACAAGTTTGGAGGCCGGGATGCAGGAGCACACAGTCACTTAGTCGGGACAAGCACTGCGGGGGCTGACCGTCAACCTGTTTCAAAAAGCGGGCCTTTCTTTTCTTGAAGTTGCGCCGCGCTTCGATACCCTTCACCCAACCTGTAAGCAAGCAGGGTCTCACTTCCTTCAGCCAAGCACACTCTACGGACAAAACTGCTGGGCACCCTGCCTTGCAACTGGCTGAGTGCCCACAAGACACGCGGTCGGGCTCTGCGCATGTGCTCCTGCAAGGGGCTGATTTCTCTTTGCTTGCATGATCCCGCTGCATGTAGGCTCCTGGAAGGCTGGATCCAGGCGCTCTAAGAGTACAAGTAGATCCTGAGGATGGAGTTTCTTCAAGACATAGACTGCCAACGTGCAATCTTTGACAGCCCACTTTGGACTCAGCCCCATACCATCGCATCCATGAACAAGTGCAGCCTTGAAACAACACGCCAAAGACGATGCACCGACCCAAGCTATCTTGTTTCGGATTGCCACTGCCCTAACTTGATAACCATGCCGAGCAACATGCGGTTGCCCTTGGCGTGGAGCATGGTGAAACATTCCTTATGATGTCCCGAAGGCTGCCAAGCTGAGCACTTGTGCACAAGCGTCCATAAGCCGTAAGCCCGTGTGTCAAAGTTTGTGCAGCTTGAGCGTCTGTGCACATTAACTCCTGAGTCTGCTCGGAGAAGATCGTGGCTCGAACGTTCTGGCACTGGTTGCACATAGGCACCACCGCTACCTCCATTGCATGCGCCCTCTTCTTCCCAACAAGAATGCACGAATGGCATGTTGGAAAGGCTTGCAGACGCCTTAGACGCGGTATGCTGGCGTCGGTGACCTCTGTCCGAATGCACATGCACAGCAGGCTCCAGTCAAGTTGCGGCTGCGAACCTGTGCAAAGATGACAAGAGGTACAACGCCAAGGTGCCATTGAAGTGACACTTCCAGAAGCACTGCACGCAGTAGTTGTCCAAACAGTAGTCCTAGGCTCAAGTCTCTGCAGGCAAAGTGCGGTTTCAACAGAATAGCATTGACTTTCACGGGTCGTTGTCTTTGGCTGTGAGACATGCGTGGCTTTGTCGCTCACCTGTGTCTTGGGGTCTGCCGGAATCGGCACCGTTTCAGCATCCAGGAAGATACGAGTACTTCCAAGATCCTCCAGCTGCCACCTTCTGTGTTCAAAGCTCTCGCCAGCCAAGACACGCATGCAAAAGCAGCCGGACGATCTTCGCATTCCTGCCATGGTCCAGAGTATGGAAGGAGAATGGATGCAGCATACAGGCGAAAGGCTAAGGCTCTGTTGATTGCTTGCCGAGCTGGAACGACAAAAGCATGATTCTCGCACCGTGCGCCGGCCTCGCAGCGCTTCTGAGGCTCGATCACATCACCATCCTGAGGCTGCATTGGCTTTACATTGGATCTTGACTTGCCACAAAACCTAAGCCCACTGCTGATACGCTGACCAGCATGGACTTGTGCTGCAGCCGGTTGCCCCGTCGATGCATGTCTTCGAAGCATTTGAAGCAGAAGTAGTCCTCCATTCCATGCTCAAAATGCAGACGTGGCGCCAGTGACCCCGTACGCATGAGGTACGGCTGCGATGAATTCCGGCAAACTCTCGTGTTTAAAGGATGGAGATTGCTGTTCAGCAGCTCTCCGGCCCGACTGAAGTTTTAGCATGGTGCGCGATTGATGACCTTGCTATCAAAGCCGTCCTCGCAGTTGGCACAGAAAACCTGCGGCTTCTTCACAGCACACGTTGAGCACAAGCTGCCGCACGCAGTGGTGAGGAAGGTGTGGTTCTTCCTGCCGCGGGCACAGGCTCAGGCTCAGGCTCAGCGCTCTACATGCGCAGCATCATGGCAAGGCCGCATTTGCACTTCGGACTTTTGAAGGTAGGCTCGAATCAATACCCCGCTGGCTTGCGGGAGGCTTCCTGAAACCGCAAAAAGGCAAGGACGCGTGGCAGTACAGTTTATCGTGCCTAGCGCTGAAAAAGCGTCGGCTTAAAAGAAGAGATCTCACTGCCTCTCCCTGTGGACCCAATGCTGGCAGCTTGGTGCCACGTGTGGCTGATGCCGTAGTCTGGATTTGGCGCAGTCAGAAACACACTTATCCACGGGCTTCACAGGGACAGGCAGGCGGCAGGCGGCCATCGCCTGGCTTTGAAACAGTTGGGCACTCCTGCTCAATGCGGGCACAAACCGCATATCATAGATTGGCGGAAAGAATGCCAAACCCTTTCAGGGTTTGACGCTGGCAAAGGAGGCCCAGTGTCCCCATGTGCGCTTGTATTGGTCACCGCTGGGATTCCCCTGCTCATTCGCCATCGCATACACTCGCACCTAAGAGCTGCAAGCTGTCCGCAAGGGCATGTTGGCCAGACAATCCAAGAGCATGCAGCGCCATGCAGGTACAAAGTACCCGTGAGGAAAAGAATCTACTTGGACGTGGCGCTGTTTTTGGAGCAACGTCGACCGTCAGCGTGGAGCCCAGCAAACGTGTCTCCTGGGGTGAGATCGACACAATCAGGGACCTTTCTGACCGAGCCTCATTCACTCAGCAAAATCCACGAAGCGAATCTGCTGGTTAGGGAAATCCCTTGCGCGTCCTCTCCGCTCAGTTGATCCTGCAGGCGCAGCAGAGCTCTTAGCTTGGAGTAGGCCAAGGTTGCCGAGACCGCTCTCCTTGAACAGCGTGTGGCCCAAGATTCCAGGGACTGGCACCACAACCATCTCCTACCAACTCGAAGAAGCAAGGGCTGACTGCTAGCATCGCATGCAAGACTTCAAAAGGCCATCCTTCACCACCTCCGAGGTCGGATTTGCCAGGACAATAACCACATCGCTTACCTGAAAAGCGACGCCCGCCGCATAGCACTTAACAACGTGACATCAGGCTTCATTTCTAAACGCTCATTTGTCGAAGACCGTCCTTAGCAGCAACTGCCGTTGCAGCCTGGTAACACGATCTGTAGTTCTAATGAAAGCCATCAGCTTCATGGTAGGCAGGTCCCTGTACTCACCTTAGCAGCGCATAGTTGCTTGGCCTGTTTGCTCCTGGGGGCTTGTCCGAAATACATCACAGCAAGGCCTTCAGAGCTGCCACTTGCACTTGGCAAATTAAACGACAAAAGGCTGCTTCCGGCATATGTCTATGTCGCGTTTTGCACGGTTTATGCACGAAAAAGAGTAGCAGTACCTGCGGAATGGTTGCCACCGAGGATCCTATTCTCAAAGCTCGGTTCTGCTTCCGAAGCTGTGTCCTGAGCTATCCCCCGCAACATGCAATTTTTCAGCGCCCGAGCCATAACAAGTAAAGACTTTGATTGATGTCTGCAAACAATCAAGGATCAACATCTTCGTGTGCTTCAACATCTCATTCTGCGCATTGTTGCGTTCCCAGGGCATGGGAGCTCGGTTGTGCGGGTCCTATCAAAGAGCAGGGTGATCGGCTCAAGTCTTTCGGCACACGTGGTGCAGGCTCCTCACCACCTTCGAGCCCGAGCTCATCTCCATAGTATACCAAAGGGCAGCCGGGCCACGTAAACTGCAAGCACTGGGCAAACTTCCGCGCCTGGACAATGTGCAAGCTGCGGTTGCTGCGAGATGCGAAAGGCAATACGCTTCCCCGCACGCGCTGCATTACATATATCAATCTAGCAGTTGATTGCTGGCCTGCAAATCAGGTAGCCTGTGGGCCAGTCGCGGCATATCATGGTTGCTGACAACTATCCAGCACTTCAATACCTGCCGAGTGGCAGGGACGCTCCGAAATGTCAGCCTTCACGCCCTAGCGCAAACCTACAACTTCAAGTGGTCTACACTAAAGGCTGTTTACAAAGCCTCGTCCATGCTGGAATCGGCAATCATCCTCACAGGATGAGCGCACTGTCCCGAGCGACGTGAAGCAGAAGAGGCAACTCTTGATAAACTAGCACCGGCTTGCCTGGACAGGTGCTGTGCTGCTGATGGCCCAGGGAGATCGCCCTCGGCCAGGCCATAGATCAGCACACCCATGTGAAGGCTCATGACCTTGGCCGCAGCGTGCTGCACTGGGTACAAACACGATTGCTTCGGATGTTTACATACTTGCAGTCTTCATCATTGTCATCATCCTAACATCCCAGACTCAGTGCACTCATTGAGCTCATCTGCTTCGGCACCAAGGACCAAATTCCATGCAAGGCGCGGCGTCCATCGCTTGTGTCCAATGGGGTGAGTACCTAGCTGCAAAACAGAATCAGGGGATCTGGGCAGGCCATGTGCACCATACTCTTAAGCTTGTCGCCGAGCTTCGCCCAAACCTCCCCAATGACCAGACTATTCTTCTTGTACCTGTGCGCTGCACGAGTGATGGAAGCCAAAAGCTCCAGGCCTGCCAGGGAAAAAACTGTTCCAAACTGGACGGGAATCAACACGTTGGGCAGCCTATTTCGGAGGCAACATCCAGACGAGCTCCATCCGCACCTGGTCAGCAGCGCTGAAGAGAACCGAACGCTTTTTTTCGGGTGAGGCGGCGAGCCTTTGGAAAGCCAGGTGGCCAAAGCCGAGTCTGGCGCGTCCCACAAGTGCTTCTGCAGCTCCTGAAGCAAAATACTTCAAAGGATCTAGGCTAAGAAAATACGGCGAAGGTGCAGCATCCCAGCCGTTCCTTCCCCTTCCCACAAGGCCTTGTCTTCAAGAGCAAACTCAACTAAAGCGGGCGCGCAGCCCCAAACCTGGGAAGGAACGCAGTAAAAGCTATGGCAAGAGTGATTGAGGAAGCTCTGGCCTTGTAGCCGTGCGGCTTATACTCGTCGCCCATGAAGAAGAACTTCCGCTTCGGCGACGATTTATCTTTAAGTGCATCCTACAACGGCATTGCGGTGCTGTGCTCTGCTGCTTTCTCCTTATCTCCCGACAGGTCCTGCACCATCTGGCAGCGCTTGCCGCAGTGATTGAACACAAAGTCGAGCACCAGCTTCATGCCTAGAGCTCAAAAACAGAGTCAGCACAAGGGGGCACCCCCCGCATCACAAGCCCAATGCGGCTTCAGCGCCCTTCTCGTGCACCTTGTTGGACAAGGTCTTGAAGTCGGCATCAGTGCCATACTGCGAGTCCAACTTTTTGTAATCTATGGTGTCATACTTGTGGTTGGAGTAGCTTTTTGTGATAGGCTGCAAGTACAGCACATCCACACCTGCAATGAAGATACCGGCTGGCAGCTACATGTCAACTGCTTGGGGATGGAAACTCATGAACGGATGGGCCTAGGCTATCAATGTAGTCGAGCTTGGAAGTGAGGCTTGGTAGATCACCGCCCCAAAAAGCTAGCTCGTTACCTCAGCTGGAATAGGTAGGACAGGAGGGTGTCGGTTGCAACGCAACAAAAATGGTTCTGTAAGACTGGTACTGTAGTATCCAGCTGATTCCACAAGTTGTCCTCCCTTCGGAAGCTCTTTCCAACCGTGGAAGGTTGCTTCCTGTTTGCACCGGCTGTCTTGCAAGAAGACCGACTGCAAAGGAGGCTTGCAACTGCATGAACTGCACGTGCGCTGCCATACTGCCAGCAATGCCTTGCACCCTCGAATGTTCTGGGGCCATCGCGTCTGGGTACAGCTTCTTCTTAGCTTCGAAGTCATCGGGCGGCGCGAAACGGTCCACAAACAGCTGGTATATGATGGCACCGATGCGCCAGTCCTTTTCACGGCGCTTCCTCAGGCTGGGAAGGTGCACATCTTGCAAAATGCAGTAGCATTCTCCAACGACCATGACCGCATATGACTGCCTAGACACATATCCTTCAGGACCGCGCGCGTTCTGGGCAGACGCGTGCTTGCAGGTGCGTCAACCTCATGGCGATATTAGCCTAGCCTTGTGAGCGAGTGATCACTTGTTTTGCCTCGTCGGCTGCATCTTTTGCACCACGCAATGCTTTGGCCTAATAGAACCATGTTCGGCTTTACGTCCGTAGGCCACTCTCATCTCATCAAGCCGAAACTTGCCTTCGCTTCTGCCTTTGCTTTTGGTTTTGCTTTCGGCTTGGCCTCAGGTTGTGCCTGGTGGCAGGGACGGGCGAAAACATCCTCAGACTTGCTGGGTTGCTGTTGAGGAACTTAAAGTAATTACCACAACATTGGCATATTATAGTAAATCATAGCGTTTCCCTGCTATAGTAGCTTATCTCAATTTAAGTTCTTGAACAGCAACCCAGTTTATCACTGTTCCGTCTCTGGCCTGTGCCTTGGGTGCTGGAGCAGCTTTTGCCTGGGCAGATTGTCAGTTGCTGTATAAATTATGGAGCTCGCGAGCATTTTGGGGTGAGGATTTGTGCTTTCGATTTTGCCTTTGGAGCGGTTTTCTCAACCTGGAACAGACAGGTCTACAGCAGAGCGCGGTAAAGCTACAGCACCCTGCTCAGCTGCCTTGGCTGCAGGTGCAGCCTTGGCTTTGGCATCTTTAACTTTTGCCTGCTGGCTGCGAGAAGGACGCAGATTTCCTGATGCTAGTACCTGCTAAACGTGCACATGCCAGGCCTTCGTATCCTTCTTCTCCTTGGCAGGCTTGCAGACCTCCCATGGTTAGCTGTGTTTGTCAAGAACTGTCCTCCTGAAGCTCTGTGCCCTCAGCCTATGCTCGAATCCGGGAGCAGAATGCCCTCACCTGATCCCAGTAGCTTTCCACCTCCTTCTTCGTGTAGCCCTCAGCCTGACATTCTGCACGCTTAGGCATCGGCCCTGTGTCCTACGATCGCAGGCCGGCCTTGTAATGTGCTAGCACTTCATCAAACCTCAGAATCTGGCGCTTTTGGTTTGCCGGGCGTGCAGGAACTGCCGCACACAATTGAAGATAGACACCACTTGCTCGGACCAGGGGGCGTGTACGCTTTGCCATCATCTGGATCAACCCGCCGTTCCGACATGATCGATGATCCAGGCCAAAACCAGATCTTGAGCCAAGCTGCATCAAAATCATTTGCTACAAGCCTTGTAGACCAGATCTTCAACCCTTTTCAGAAGCATGTCTGTTTCCTGTGCAAAGTTCAGGCACGCGAAAGGGGAGCTTGAAATTTATGTGCCTGCCAAGAGAGGTTCTAAAGACTTCGCACACATGCAACTACATCATGGAAATTCAACGTTTGTGCCAAGCCTATTTCTGAAACCTCAAGGAGTAAGTCCTTGGGCCGAGCGCATTCTTGTGCAGGGCATCTGCACAAGATTGGCAGAAGGACATGAGGCACCTGGGCACGGTCCTACCTGCTTTGACTGCGACAAAACATTCTCAACCAGCCGTTGTCAGCCTTTCGCCTGCCACGCCTCTGCTAAGAAGACTCAGCCCCAAAACTGCCATTCACGGCAAAAACAACCTAGTATTGTAGCTCCAGGCATGTATGCTGCTGTGACAAGCACATTGGTTTACAAAGGCCTCAATCTTCTGAACTACCCGGAAGCTTCTGCGAGATCAGCGGCTGATTGCATTTCAACGTGGACTGCATGACCCCGCAGGATTGACAGGGGATCTGCAGGTTGCGAAACCTCAGGCATGATGAGCAAGTCTCTAGCGCGGTCAATAAGAGATCCCAAGCAGCGCTTGATGAGCGCCATTGGAGCTCTGTTTCTGGTGTCAGGTAGGTCCCAGGCTGCTTGTTGAAGAGCATGTCTGGCTGTGAGAAGAGGAGGCCATTCACAGACCTTGGCGAGGCCGCACCCAGTTCTCATGCTACAAGTACAGCATATTAATGCTGCGCACCGAGCCCTGCCCTAACATCTGCATCTTGCGACACAAGGCACGGCTTCGTCCGCAGGCACAGGAGGTCCAGTCGCTGGCGCTCCAAGACTTTGAGATACCTGGCACTGTTTGTTTGTTGCTTCTGTCTCTCCAATTTGCACAATCAAAGCAATTTTCGACTTCACCTAGTCCACAGGCGGGATGTCCGCATGCGGTATCATCCAGAATGCCCGCCTCTGAGTCAGAGGGTGCTCAATTGTGTAGTAGTCATTCAGCAGGTCCTTGACTTGACGAGTTTTTCTGATAACGGTCTCGGGGCCTACACACTTCTGCGTATGACCTGATGACACAGCGGCTACATCTTGTCCACAGCTTTGCCGATTATTAGGCCAGGAGACATGGAAGTAACACACACCAGCCTGCGGGCAATCACATCTGCTAGCTTGCGACATGCCGAATTCACCAGCCCAACGCGCTATCTAATGTGAGGAAGTCACACATGCCTTGCTAACCTTCATCTCTGCTTGAGGTGGCATTGGAGCTGCGAGCATCTCCTAACACAAGTGGGGTCTGGTTTGCCCTGCTAGCGCTGCAGACTCGAGTCGCGGCAGTGATCCAATTCCCGAGAGTGTCGTGGAAGCGAGACAATTCATCAGAGCATCAGGTCCATGCAAATGACATGCATGGATTGGTACGAGTAAGAACTGTCTTTTGCCAAAGCGTCCCTGGCCACCCAAGATAGCTCTGGTTCCAACTGAAGGTTGATGCCAAGATAAGCCACATACCTTGCATTGCATGGTCTTGCTCCTTCTAGCTGAAGCCTGTGGACTTCACGCATGGATCCAGGCAACTGACTTGTTTCTGAAATCTGCCATTGCCACGAAGCAACTCCATTGCTGTTAGTTGATCCTGCCCGGGTGGAATCTGTAAGGCTCTGCAGCTCTTCGTTTCCTGTCATGCGCGCCACGATTCTGCCAAACTCAGCGGCTGCTCAACAACTGAAGGATCGAGCAGGACGGGCCTTGAGGAACTCATCTGTTGCCTCATCCAATCGGGTTCCGATGCCTTGGGCTGCCATTCAGTTGAAGCCTTCCTCTGCCAGCAGATGCAAGCACAAATACCTGGAGATCTTGAAGCCCAGCCACGCTCCGCCTCGGCCCCAAAGACTGGTCGCTTTGCGTCCTCCATAGCCTTCACAAAGACTCAAGCACACAGGTCTATGAAGAGCTTGCCAGGTGCACTCCACATTCCCACCTTTCGGGCCCCTCCTGGCGGTCCACCCTTCTTTGAGCCAAACGGCGTTGCAGGTCAGGCTCAAGGTTGTCTCATGAAAAAGTCATCCCTTCAGCAAGCACCAAGCCCAGAATCAGACCTCAATCATCTCATCCCACCATCCTACAGCCGGGTGACACGGTATTCGGTGAAC